CTTGGTTAGTTCAGAAATTTGTCCTAACGTACTTGACAATTGCGGTGGTAACCAGCACCTTATTTTTACCATCAACGTTTTTAGGGCAGATCTCACTCAGCTGGGCTACAGGGCCCTAGGTTTTCCATAAGCAACATCAGGCAAGTCCTGGAGAGGAATAGTTTGCTGCAGGTGGTCTGCATATAGACTATGTTATGTTAATTATATTTTGCTCACATTCAAAGGAAATGTTAATTGATTTCTCTACTTTCTGACTTCTCTGGTTTTCTCTTTAGGCAAGTACATTGCCTAGTTCCATGAAGCTTTTCTTTTTCTCCAGAGTCCTTTTTTTTTCCCCATAAGTTTTCTGTATTCTTCTCTTGATTTTTTGTTTGTTTTTTCTCTGCTTTTCTTGGTGATTTTTTCTTCTATTATTATGCTCATGCCAGCTAAATATTCTTCATTTTTCAATAGACAGAATCAAAAGCACATAGAATTTCAGGATTTTAAGGGATCTTAGAGACTAAACAAAATATTCTTTAGTATTTCTATCTGTGTTGAACGTCTGCCTCAAGCGGTTGTTCAGGTGAAGAACCTGAAACTCAAAGAGAGTAAGTGATTTCTTTGGGTATACTTTGTAGCATAAATGAGATTCAAACTCAATTTCCTTAATTCAAAGCCTAGTCTTCTTGTATATCATCCTGTCGGTGAGTGTTTTAATAATAGAAAAGAGAGAGTGGGTCTAGTGATCCCAGTGGAAGAGGATGAGAATGGAATGAGCTGGTGAACCTTAATGGAAGCAGATAAGACTGGAATTAGCAGTCTATGACTATTCTCTCTTTACACCCTCACCGTATTTTATTCATTTTAATTGTAGACCTAGTGTTACATGTTTCTGTCCTTGTTTCTTATCACATATCCCTACTTGAATATAGGGTGGAATCTGTCTTTTGTTTATATTTTTGGCTTCTCTCAGGATATGGCATGATTTTATAGGTGCAGTGAATAAAGAAATACAATGTTTTCTAAAGTTGTGTTTTTTTTTAATAGGAGGAAGCAACAAAACCATCAACTAGCAAAAACAAAAATGGTATTATTTAAAGTGCTCCATGAAAGCAAACAAATAATAATAATTTTGTTTTTTGTGTACAAAAATTAGAGGTGGTAAGTTAGTGAATATCTCTAAAAAAGTATTGGCTTAATGCTATTATTAAACAAAAAAATCCAAGTGTGGCAGCTCATGCCTTAATCCCAACACTTTGGGAGGTCAAGGTAGGCAGATCACTTGAGCCCAGGAGTTTGAGACTTGCCTGGGTAACATGGCAAAACCCGGTCTCTGTTTTTAAAAAAACTGCAAAAATTGGCTGAGTGTGGTAGCACAGTCCGGTAGTCCCAACTACTTGCGAGGCTGAGGAGAGAGGACCACTTGAACTGAAGAAGTTGAGGCTGCAGTGACCTGTGATCCCATCACTGCACTCCATTCTAGGTGACAGAGCAAGACCCTGTCTCAAAAAAAAAAAAATGCAAAACAAAAAGAAAAGGAAAGTTGTAGACCCAAATATAATATTTTTTTTGCTATTTTTCTCATATTACAAACTCCTTTTTTCTGAAACTACATCAAACCTGAAGTTATTTTTTTCTGTTATTTTTATTTTATTTAAATATTCATGAATGGAGATAGACTTTGTATATTTGAAATTTACAGTAACTCATAGTCTCCTGAATGTATCTGTGAATAACATTTTATAGATAAGTCATCAGCAGGATCAGGAGAAGAGGAAAATATAGGATCATCCTGCAGTTCTAAGGTACTGTCTACTGTCATTATAAGTATCGAGGGATATTAAATCATACAATGGGATGCTTGGGCTTTACTTTCTCACCTGTGTGTACTCCCGTAAAGGAATTATTTTCCCACATTTCAGGGTATAATGAATACAATAATTATGTGCTAAGTAGATTACTGCTGCATAGTACAATTCTGCTAATTTGCAGAATTCATTTAAGAAGCCAGCATAGTATAATGAAAAAAAAAATACAGGGAATCACTTCAGGTTCTGAAGATAAGTTTGTCTAAAAACTAAAGAATTATTCCAGGTCAACCTAGGAGCAAATGTACAATTCTATGGCATATCTGGATGTGTAAATATCCTAATGAGATGCAGAGATAAAGAGTTTAAGCTGTAAGGTTTTTTTTAGAACTTGGAACTTGAAACGATAGTGCCTAGGACTTGAAAGTATTGATATGTTTGGATCATCAGTGTAGATCTGCAAGGAACATTTTATGAGAAACAAAAGCATGGGAAATAGTCTACGTGTGGAAGTATAAAAACAACAATTTGGTTTAATAGTGTTTTAATTCTTTTTAACAGTAGAATGCTTTGAGTTTCTTTGTGGCAGTCATGCTTGTAGTAACATAAGTAGAAAATAATAATGATGTATTCCAAGGCCACAACTGTGGAAAGAGATGGGAACGGCCTGACCTCTTAGGTAGAAGCAGTTGGTGCGTAGTGGTACCAGCACTGAGTGGAAGTCAAAAGATAGGTTGGTGTCCTGGTCCTGTCACTTACTAGCTATGGAAACTTGGGAAAAATTATTTAACTTATTTGAATGTCAGTGCCCTTTTACATAAAGATGGTACTGATACCTAGCTCTTAGGTATATGTAATGAACAAATGTGGCAAGAAATGTGAAAACATTTTGTAAACTGGAATATGTGTATGCAAATATGGGACAAAATGAATCACAATGGGATTCAGTGCCTTAATACATACCGCGAGTCTTTTTTTTGTTTAACCTTTAGTGAGTACTGTCAAGTCGACAGTACTGACAAGAGAACAATGAGAAAGTATAGCATAGGTATGTGGATTTCCAGATTGGAGTAGGGTAAGTTTTAGCGGTCTATTACTGGTGATATCCTACGGGAATAGGGTGATTTGGCACCCAGGACCTCCTAATAAGATTTTAAATGTTTTGACCTCAAATAAATTTCTGTCATTGTGTACGGACTGTGTGCTAGGCAGTAAGACAGTGAATACACAGGATGAGGGCTTATCCTAGAGTAGTAGGAACACAAAAACAAGGAAACAACAAACGCATAAGTCACTACAAGTGCTTCCTATAAAGAAAACAGAAAATGTTCAATTACAGAAAATTGAGGAAGTCTGTAGTTAGGATTGGGATGGGAGTGGGAGTTGAATTGTGTAGTCAGAGATCTTTCTGTGTGCCATTTAAGCTTCCTGTTAGAGGCTGAGGAAAAGCAAGCCCCGTGAAAGTCTAAAAGGAGGATATTCTGGACAGAGAAAAATGGATAACAATTGGAGTATGTGCACTTTTGTAATTTAGTTATAGTCAGTTGAAATATAAGCTTACTTTTGATACCTTAACTGCATGTCTTATGAAATTTACATTACATAAAACTTTTATCTGGGAAAAGATAGAATCAAGGAAGATATCACATAGATGTGTTTGACTTATAAGAAGAATAGAAGCCGGGCGCGGTGGCTCACACCTGTAATCCCAGCACTTTGGGAGGCTAAGGCAGGTGGATCATGAGGTCAGGAGATCGAGACCATCCTGGCTAACACGGTGAAACCCCGTCTCTACTAAAAAATAGAAAAAATTAGCCGGACGTGGTGGCGGGCGCCTGTAGTCCCAGCTCCTCAGGAGGCTGAGGCAGGAGAATGGCATGAACCCAGGAGGCGGAGCTTGCAGTGAGCCAAGATCACGCCACTGCACTCCAGCCTGGGCGACAGAGGAAGACTCTGTCTCATAACAAAACAAAACAAAAGATGAATAGAAATTTGTCAGAATAGTAGAGGAAAACATTTCAGATATAAAGAGTGGAGTGTACACTGATGAAGGGGTAAAGAGAAAGTCATTTTGGAAATTATTAGTACTAAATAACAGGCTTAGTGTGTTGTTACAAAGGTACTATTATAAAGTGAAGGAAAATATACAGTATTTATCTGTTTCTTTTGGATTTTTAATTTTTTTTGTTTCTGGTGGTTTTGTTCACTGATGTTGGGTGGATGAAATTGTGAGTGAATCTATGAGATGAATGTATGCCTTGACTCTGGTGACATCTAGTGTCTTGCCATGTGGTTTGTTGAAGTTTTGGAGAATTAGAAGTATTTTTTCAAGAAGATTAAGCTTTAAACTCTCATTTTATAAAAGAAAAAATATGTTTTTTTGTTCATGTTTATAAAGACTATAGCTTTTATCTAACTGTTCTAAGTAGTTCATTTTAATGAAATGTATGGCTTTTTGAGCGGAACAAGACTTAAAATGACATCAGAGGAAGAACAAGAAAGACTTCAAGGATGTGAAAATAACCAGCTACAGTTATGTAAAAATTTAATTTCAAATTTCTGGTTTTCCTTGCTTTGGTAACATAGCATACTTCAAATGAAATTACCTTTGGACTGTCCCTTTAGAATCAGTTGATTATAATTTAATATTTAATTTGAAAACATTTTAATTGGCTATAAAACTGAAAATATTCTCAGAATCTATAGTGATTTACAGCTAATCTTTTCCCTTGGAAATGAAGCTTAAAAGTTCCTGAATATTGTTTGCTGTTCATTTTTATAACATCCTAAATAATAAAAAAGGTAACATCAAATATTGAATTATTATTTTAAGCAATCAAAATTATGAACAATTTAACACTGATGGCTGCTGACTTGGGTTCATGTTAAAGGAGTAATCATTGCTAATGGGTCAAAATTTGCAACTTTATATATTATGGGTCACTAATACTATGATGAAAAATGTATTCTCCAGTGTGATTTTTTATTTTATTTTATTTTTTTTTCTGAGACAGAGTCTTGCCCTGTGGCCCTGGCTGGAGTGCAGTAGCTGGATCTTGGCTCACTGCAACCTCCACCTCCCGGGTTCAACCAATTCTCCTGCCTCAGCCTCCCAAGTAACCGGGATTATAGGTGTGCACAACTACTCCCAGCTAATTTTTTGTATCTTTAGTAGAGATGGGGTTTCACCAGGTTGGCCAGGCTGGTCTTGAACTCCTGACCTCATGATCCGCCTGCCTCGGCCTCCCAGAATGCTGGGATTACAAGTGTGAGCCCCCACACCTGTCCCGTGATTTTTAATTGACTTTAGTATCTGTGTTCAGGGAGAGAATGGGGTCATAAAGTCAACCCAACTGCCTGTCACGAGAATGGGAGCTTTGGTGTGAGGGTACAAACAGTAACTTTCTAACTTATTTCATAGAGCAAATCTGTAACTATTGTTAAAATTTTTTAACCTGTTATTAGTGGACCTTGGAATATATTGAAACTTAAGACCATAGTCTATTCAGAACAGGTATATAACACTATCATTTTATAGTACATGATTTGAATTAAATTGTTAGAATTTGGCTTTGTTTTCTGATTAGTGTCGATTTTGATTGCCTACTCACCAGTTAGTAATCTTTGGAAAAAAGCACTCAAGTATGCACTGTTTGTTGAGTATCACTATTTCAGGCACACTGAGATAAAATCTTCCTAAGTAAAGGATGCCTTTGTAATACTGCAAATCACCTTTTAATTCATTTTGGTAAATTAAACACATAACGAATTAATTTCAGTCCAAACAGTTACAAAGTTAACATTGATGGTTGATATTTTTCCCCTATTTTAGGCTAATGCAAATTAGTTTTAACTTACTAATTACAATCCAGTGATTGGGAGTAGATAAACATAGATTAAGAAGTTTAACAGTTAAAGTTTTATTATTTTTTAACTTTTATTTTTCCATACTTGATTATTTAATGACAAAGTTATCTTTAAAACATGCACCCTGACAGAAAAGACATCTGACAAACAAAACTAGCAAATTAATCTTCCAGTTTGCATCTGCAAAATATGTCTCTACAAACAGAAGTGAACAAGTACTGTAATAGACAGCATACATCTCTATATGCAGGACTCCTTTGTGTGCAAAACTAGGAGAAAGCATGGGTCAAACAAGGCAAATGAGGGTGGAAAAAACTTTAAAACTTCATCACAGTTGAGTTGAAGGAGAGTTTGAATGAAATTTGTGAGGAATCCAAAGCTTCTGTTGTTCAGAGGAAGAGCCACTACAGGAAGAAGAAATGAGAAGAGCATACCCTCTAATTTGACAAATAATATACATAACTGTTAGGAAAAAAATGCATCTGAAGTTCTCCTGTGTGTAATATTCCAGATATTTTCTGAACAAAAATAGTTCAGTCTCATAAATGCCTTTCCATTTCATTTCTACTCTGGGTCTCTGGAATATGCTTGCCAGTCACCTTCTGATTTTTATTTTAAAAATAAAGTATGCTGTGAAAATAATAACAAACCTGACACTGTACATGTTTTTAACACAGAGCAGTAGAATTTTTATAATGACACAGAAAGTACAAAAGCAAGGAACCCAGAAGTGGTTATCACTGAAATAAAAGAAGACTAAGAGTGTTACAGGCACATGATGAAAAAAATCACCAAAATAACACTAATTGCAAATAGGACATCAGAAATACGCTGCCTCAGTTTAGTGATCCAAAAAGTCTTTTAGATTTGTGGCTTACCTCCTCCAGAGAAATGGAGCATGTGAGTAAACAAAAAGGCATGGTGCTTCTCTTGTTAACAGACATTTATAATAATACAAAACCAATACAGAACTTGTTCCAGAAACCATTATATCATAATTGCAGTGCAAATAACTATAAAAGAATAGAACATGGATTAAAAAATGTGCATTCCTCTCCATCACAGTGACAGAACATCAAAAGTACATCTGGAAGAACAGTTACGGCACAGTATACAAAGACTGAAGAATGAAGTAGGCATATTAAAACTAGAGTTCCTGACTTCGAAGAAAAAGTTCAACTTGAGAAAGACTTAGAGGGCCACTTGCTGCTACGTGGTTTTTTCTCTTGATCAGTTATCTGGTGCATTCTGCTTTTTTACTTATGAAACGCTCGTGTGTAAAATGGGGCTACTAAATACATAATTGTGTGTGGAAATAGATTATTTTTCTATCTAAATGATAGAAGCTCAGGAGAACATTCTACAGTCTTTGTTTCTTAATCAACCCAAGTCTGTCTATCAATTTTCCAAGGGGCATAGGGACAGGGAAACTAATCTATTCATATGCCATGGATATGGATGCTTGTGAACTAGGGTAAGCATATAGGAAATTGGTTAAACAATGTAATGAGCTCTAGGACCTAATTTTTCCCTATTGAAGATGAATTGCACTTACTTAATAAAGTGGGAAATCAATGGGAAGGAAGCAGTGACATAAAAATCCATCCCTCCTTGAGAGTTGGAACAAATATTTATACTCAAAGGAATCAGTATATTGTATGTTGTGCTTTCAGGTGTGAAAGTTGATTCATTTCACTGAATATGTTGGGGCTTATAATTTCATTATGACCACCTTAAATATATTTGAAAACAAATGTAGATAGATATATCTATTTTTTAATTACCACTTTTACATGTTTCTGTCAAATCAGATTTTAATGTGATTTTATTTAATAGAGTATACGTTTTTGGATGTATAACTTTATCATACAAGTACCATAGATTCTCAGCCAAAAATTTAGTTTTTGACTCCAAAGTAGAAACCTGATGTCTGTACATCGAGTTTTAAAGATAGAGAAAAATCTGGTGATACCCACCTTTAAAAGTAAAAGTAGATGAGGCCTGTCAGCCCCTGCTGAGGCAATAAGTTACTTTCCCAAAGTGATACTTTGAATTCTTGTGATTAATTTGATGAATGTATCAGGTAATTTATCTGACTCAGCATTATGAAATAATATTATTGGTTTTTGTGTCATAAAATGCTAGGAAATGCCACTTTAGAAGCTTTGGATGAGTCTTTTAATCTTTTTTGATAAAGCAGCTGACGTAAATAATTACTTTCACTGTCTATTCCCCAGCAATAAAATGTCGTGGTTAGTGAATGTGAAATTTGGAAAGCATCTCATTTTCCAGAACTCTACTAGCATTTCAACAGTTTCATTCTCCTTCTTCTGTGGTTTCATATTTTGGTTCCTGTATTTCACCAAGCAGCATCACAGTTTTGAAGTCCTAGGATCTGAATGAAAAAAGAAAGATAAAAGATAGTGGGGAAAGCTTACCCCAGAGAGGGAAAAGCTTCGTTTCTGTTCTTGAAGCCCCACAATGTCACATTCTCTAAATCTGGCCGTCAGTGTAAACTCCAGGAGGTAAAGATAGAAGAGGACAGATTTCATGGCTTTGTCCTTTTATTTCTCTGCTTCTGCTCGTCACAAGAGGGTGAAATTTACATTAGACAGCAAAGAGTGGATGGGAAAACACAAATTTGGAATGGGTCCTTTTTGAAAGTTTGGAAAATTGTGTTGTATTCACTCAAACAGAAATAAATCAGACTTTATATGAATTTCAAAGGAAAAAATCACACTATAACTTACATTAATAATTATATAATGATAAAATGAGAGTAAGCACAAAGTATTTTAATGACTTACCATGACAGACTGAAGTTATAAAATGAATGAAGACAGAAAAGTTCTTTCTGTTGGTTAAAATAATGACAATTATTCTCAGTATCAAACTTTCATTGCAGCTTGCAGAAAAAATGAAAAAGTGCAGAAATAAGAAAATGGAAGTGTCAAGAAACCTAAATGCTGATGACAGTGACAATGATGATAATCATGATGAATTAATTTAAGAAAGGAGCAGAAAACCTGATAATCATCAGTTTCCCAGGCAGAAGAGTGAACAGTATAATAGGTAAGCTTATAGCAATATTTGATAGTAGATTATTGTTATTGTACTATCAAATGAATTCTAATTTCAGGTAATATGCATGCTTAATGAATTTTATACTTTCACTAGGGATATTCTGTCTTGTGTGGTAATCAGAAAAATGCAAGTTAACAAGCAATTAGATTCAGTTTTTCTAAGCATATTGGTATTTTATAAAAAAATAACTAGTGTGGGCAAATGTGAAAAAAAAAGTTGTCTCGTATACTTATTTGGTAAATCTTTATTGAAGGGTAATTTAGTAGCATGTATCAAAATTTCAAATATGTCATTCCTTTAATGTGTCTGCTTTACTTCTGAGTCTGGATCCTGCAGGAAATACGACTTTACACATACACACAAGTTATGGACATTTATTACATGTTATATATAACATACAATAGGCCAACATATATATTCTGATATAGGTATCTGTGTGTGTGTGTGTATGTGTGTATGTTTCCCTACTGTATGTTACATATATACGTTGGCCTATTGTATGTTATATATATATATGTTGGCTACATGCATATAGATACACATACACACACATATATGTCTTATGTATTTCTATGTGTATGTTTGTAACGTGTTTATAAAACATCTCAAGTATAACAAAAGTGTGTTGAGGATATTAATATATGTTACATGCTTATATATGTTAAGAATTTTCATTATAGCATTGTCATATCAAAAAGCTGGAGATAGTCTAAAATCCCATTAATGAGGAAATAGGTAAATTGTCATACCCATTAAATAATGTAGTTTGAAACTCTCTTTTTAAAATGAGGTTGGAGCTATAGTATACTGATTATTTCATCAGTAAAATATATTTAAAACATTTAGTTTGATAACACATCTTAAATACATTTTGTTAGAATATAATATTGTAATTTCTTTTTTTTAAGATGGAGAATCTCTCTGTCGCCCCGGCTGGAGTGCAGTGGTGTGATCTCGGCTCACTACAAGCTCCACCTCCCAGGTTCATGCCATTCTCCCGCCTCAGCCTCCCAAGTAGCTGGGACTACAGGCACCCGCCACCATGCCCGGCTAATTTTTTGTATTTTTAGTAGAGATGGGGCTTCACCATGTTAGCCAGGATGGTCTCGATCTCCTGACCTTGTGATCTGCCCGCCTCAGCCTTCCGAAGTGCTGGGATTACAGGCATGAGCCACCGTGCCTGGCCTGTAATTTCTTAATACTTATAATATCTATTGAGTTGCAAAAGGAAAGTACATGCTACCTTGGCACTTCACGTTACCAACAAAATTGCTAGTTACGACATTTGCTTTTTTTTGTTCTCAATGCGTGAGTGCTCAAATATTGAATTCTCAGAATAATCTGAATATTCCCAAGGGATTGCACATGGGGATCTGTATTCCATGTAAATATTCGGCGTATTGGTAAAACTTGTTAAACTATATCAAAGGATCTTTGAAATGCCGAGTCAGGAGTTGACTAGTTTTTTCCTGTAAAGAGCCAGATAGTAACTATTTTAGGCTTTCTGGACCAGAAGGTTTCTGACATCTTTCACAGACAATGAATGAATAGGTGGCACTGAGTTCCAAGAAAACTTTACTTACAAAAACAGGCAGTGGGCTGAATTTGGCCCACAAGTACTGATTTGCTGACTCCTGTGCCAAACCAGGGTGCTGCTAATGCAGTGAACCTCCTGTTTAGAGGCACTCTGAATGCCTACCATTATCCTTTTAAAAGATATTTCAGCTTGCACGGCACTGTATTTTACCACAGTGACTTCCTATGATATAATTTACAAAAATTCAGTTGACAAAACAAGATTATTTGAATTTTCATCTTTTTTCATCTCATAGAATTTAATATTTTAGTATGACAAACCATTTTGTATATTTGATGAGTGTAAAATATCTCAGAGTTGGGTGATTTTTCTCAGGTAGGAGATACTGCCCTTTAGTCTGTCTGTGGTCTTTATAAGCATGAGCCAAAATGATAACCAGCTTTATAATACAGAAATGTTCAAGGGGTTTTTAGTTCTATAATTTTATGTTATTTATTACCTTTGTCTGGCTTTTAAAATGCTATATATATGTAATTTTTAAAAACTATTAAGGTGTTAAAACACACCATGTAATTAATCCTTAATCATTATGAAAGGATTGAAAAATACAGTTTAACAAGAAGAAAATTAGATCATGCATGATAATGCCACGTGGGCATGATGTCCTTAAAATTAAACTGCTTGTACTCATGGCCTCAAGTTTCCTTTCCATTCACTCTTGAACTCACTGCCATAATTTTCACTCTCACCACTCTCCAGAATTGTTATTCTCAATGTTGTCACTGATTTTTCACTGTAACGCATCTAGATATAATTTTTTAGATCTCGTTTTATGTAACCTATCAACAATACTTTCACTTTCTTCACTGGCTCTCAGAATCTCACTCTCTGGCCTAGATTTTCCTCCTGACTTTCTAGTCCATCCATCTTAGCCTGTTTTGGTTACGTCTCCTCGTCTTCTACCTTTCACAGATTAAAGTGACCCAGGGCTCAGTTCTTGAGGTTTTTTCTTCTGACTTTTACCAGCTTGTATATGCTAATGATTTTCAAATTTATATCTCCAGCCCATTTCTCTCCTTAATTTCAGACCTATATATCAGCCTGTCTACTTGACATCTCTCCTTGATTAGCTATTGGATATGTCAAATTTATCAGATCCAAAATCTGGTTACTGATGTTCTTCCTCCTGCCTGCCCCTTATGTAGTCTTGTTGTTCCATTAATAATGAGTCTTGCAAATGCTCTGCCAAAAACCCTGGTGTCCTCCTTGACTCACACATTCTCTCTCTGTCTCCCTCCCCCGACCCCCATCTCTGACACTCCACAGCCAAGATGTTGGCAGATCTCATCAGGTCTAACTTCACAATATATCCAGAAGCCAGTCACATCTTTCATGTCCAAGCCACTCCACTGTCATCTGATTGGCCATCTAGAGTAGTGTCATAGACTGCTAATAGGTCTTTCTGTTTCTCCATGTTTAATCCTCTTTTCGTCAATTCTTTACCCAGTGAACCTATTAAAACATGTCACATTATGTCACTCTTTTGGTTAAAAACTTCTAATTGCCTCCCATTTCACTCAAAATATATGCCAGATTTTCTCCTAATACTCCAAAGGAACCACAGGATCTGACTTCCTATTTTCCTGACTTATGCTTCTGCCTTTCTACTCTTTCCACTCTGCTGCAGCCACACGGAACTTCTTTCTATTTTGTGAACACACTCTGCATCCCTCTGTACTGGGCGGTTGACTCTGTATGGAGTTAGATATCCTCCTTGCTTACTCCTTCCATTTCTTCAGTTCTTTCCTTAAAAGCCACTCTCTCAGCAAGGTCTTATCTAGTCATCCTAATATTTTCGCCACCTTGCCCCTCCTGCACATAAACACTCCTTTTTCCTGCTTGAGTTGTTCCTCTCTAACATACTATATATTTTGCCTCTGATGTTTTGTGTTTACTTGGCACTCATGAGTAGGATTTTGTCATCGCTGTGTTTTTCATTGCCTAGGAAAGGATATAATATAATAAGTAGCAACTCAATAAATGTTTACCGAATGAGTGAATAGAGTTTATCCTGGTATATGGTTTTAAACATTAATACTCACTTAAAATACAGTTTGACATGAGTTCATTCTGACAATTTTACCTGGCAATTATATGCCCTTTTTGGATTATTTGGGCTCTTTTGAATGAGCTGTACTCTCTATATGAATGGTTTTCTAATTAGGGAGAAAACCCCAATGTTGGGCGGTTTTTCACTATTCTCTTACTGATAATTATGATCATTTTAATCATGGTTCAAGGGATCACAGGAGTTTCAAACTTCATTAGTATTTTATTAGGAATAAGAAAATATCAGGATGGTAAATGCAATGGATGTAAAAATTATTTCCAAAGGATTATGAGCCCTTAGCATCTGAAATAGAGAAAAGTTGAATTTTGCCAGGTGCAGTGGCTTACACCTGTAATCCCAACACTTTGGAGGCCAGGGCAGATTGATCATTTGAGGTCAGAAGTTCAAGACCAGCCTGGCCAAGTGGTGAAATCCTATCTCTACAAAAAATACAGAAATTAGCTGGCAGTAGTGGCGTGCCTGTAATCCCGGCTACTTGGGAGGCTGAGGCAGGAGTATCCCTAGAGCCTGGAAGGCAGACGTTGTGGTAAGCCGCGATCTTGCCACTGCACTCCAGTCTGGGTGACAGAGTGAGACACTGTCTCAAAAAAAAAAGTTGGATTTATTGTCTTCTCTAGTAAAAGATCTGTGCTGGTCAGGCACAGTCTCTTGTGATGGAGCAGCTGCTGATCCTTGTATAAGGCTTGTGGAAGGGTGGAGTTGAAGGCTTGGCCAACTCTCACAGGCATAACTGGGTTGACGTCATCTGGAGCAATGTGGTTGTCTGCATGAGACTGTTGTGGATTAGTTAGCACTTCCAGGCTTGCTGATGGGGGTGAGTTTGTCTCTGGATGTCTTTCAGAGACAAGTGGCTGGCATTCGTTGGTTGGTGTTAGTGAGGCCAGTGTCATTGATCGACTAGATTTAGAATTGGTTCTGGTTGGCTACCTGTTAGCATGGCTACAGGTCACCATTTTCCTTAGTGTGGCAATGTTAATCAGATGTTTTCTGTTTGAAAGTTACCTTCTATCAACTATGCTCAAAATGAACAATATTTCATAGAGTTATATACTTTGAAGTTTGGGTCAAGAGGAGTTGTTTAATAAATGCTATCAAAAAGTTTTTGGAAGCTTAGTTTTAAACAGAAGACTAAGATTTAAACTCATCTACATGTATTTTTGGTAAATTATTGCTGGATTTATTTTTGTTTATTGTGTTTTTAAGGGCTCAGGCTGAACTCATAACTAACATAATCTCCAATGGGAAATTTTAGCCTTTTTGTAAATCTATGTAGGTATAGGATAGTGATATCCTTTTGCATGTGTTTACTATAGAGAAAGTAATTACAATTTTCTACTGGTAAATCCAGCTTTTCATATTAGGAATAGATATTACACTATAAGTATACAAAAGTTTCTAATAAAATCATTCTATTTTCAAACAAAATTCTATCTAATCAGAATAATGCCAATTTGAACTATATGTAAAGACATACGGGTATTTTAAAAAAAAGTGTTTTTCCCTTTAAGGTAATTTCACAGTTTGTTTCAGGTTATATGTGCTTCATGGTATTTTGAAAACTTAATTCAAATGAAACATATGAAAACAAAAACTGTGGCACAAATCCAACTGTGACCCCATGTCTAAGAGTCATTGCTTGCAGGCAGTGGCTCCAGCCTTTTAGCGTAGCATTCAAGTTTAGCATTCTTCTCTCAGCGTTTACTTTCACGTGTTTTATACTTTACCTTTCAAGTTCCCAGGAAACAAGTGGATGCCACGTGCCTAATCCCTGTGCTCACATTCTATTCTCTATGTAGAATGGTTTTCTCCTACTGTTTCTGGTTTTGTTTTGGTTTGTGTGTTTGTTTGTTTTGGCCTGGTGAGCTCCTCTTGTCTTCTGCCTCTTCCATAAAGTCTTCCTCATGCTCAGATACAATTTTTTCTGGATCAGCTCTTACATATTGCATTATGTCATAATTATCTGATTACCTGTTTTGCTATTTTTCCTGAGACAAAAAGCCGGCATGTGATGGCACGATCTTGGCTCACTGCAACCTCCACCTCCCGAGTTCAAGTTACTCTCATGCCTCAGCTTCCCAAGGATTACAAGCATGCACCACCACGCTGACTAATAGGTGTATTTTTAATACAGTCAGGGTTTTGCCATGTTGGCCAGGCTGGCCTCAAGTGATCTACTTGCCTCAGCCTCCCAAAGTACTGGGATTACAGGTTGAGCCATCACGCCGGGCCTGGTTACCTGTTTTTGTTTTGTTTTGTTTTTGAGATGGAGTGTCACTCTGTCACCCAGTCTGGAGTGCTTGGCGTGATCTCGGCTCACTACAACTTCTGCCTCCTGGGTTCAAGCAGTTCTTTCCCTCAGCCTCCCAAGTAGCTGGGATTACAGGCACCTGCCATGTCACCTGGCTAATTTTTGCATTTTCACAAAATACAAAAGAGGGTTTCACCATCATGACCAGGCTGGTCTTGAACTCTTGACCTCTTGATCCACTTGCCTTGGCCTCCCCAAGTGCTGGGATTACAGGCATGAGCCACTGTGCCCAGCTGATTACCTTTTTTTTTAAAGCTGAGAATATACATTTCCTTGTATGTGTTGGAACTTCAAAATGGATTTTGAATTAGTAAATAGAGATGAAGAAGCGTATGAATTTCAGAATAATTCTTTTATCCTTTGTAAGTAGAATTATTGGAAACCATTGGCTTTTTAATGGATTTTTCAAAGTAGTGATCATCCCTTGCATATGAAGTAAGTAAAGAAAAATGCAAATTTGGCACACCCAAGATGGCCGAATAGGAACAGCTGCAACCTCCAGCTCCCAATGTGAGTGACACAGAAGACTGGTGATTTCTGCATTTTCAACTGAGGTACCGGGTTCATCTCACTGGGGAGTGCCGGACAATTGGTGCTGGTCAACTGGTGCAGCCCAACCAAGGCGGGTGGATCACCCTAGGTCAGCAGTTTAAGACCAGGAGTTCAAGACCAGCCTGGCCAACATGGTGAAAGCCCATCTCTACCAAAAATACAAAAAAAAAAAAAAAAAAAAAAAGGCATGGTGTGTCGTCGTCTGTGTAAATGGCGGGCTGAGGGCGGCGCATACTCAGTAGGCTGAGGAAGAGAAGTCACGTTAGAACCACTCTGGGCATGGATGGCTGCAGTGGAGCTGGAGATCCTCCAGGCTGCGGTGACACAGTGAACTTCTCCCCCTCAAAAAAAAAAAAAAAAAAAAAAAAAAAAAAAAAAAAAAACTATAAACAAGAAGAGAAAAAGCTAGTGTATTATATATGTTTTCTCTATGAAGTCATGCAAATAACATGTTTTTTCTTTTTCTTTGGCTGTCAGAAAACTTGATCTAAGCTTAATTTTTTTATATTAGTAGTAATATGTTTTATTTGTCCTGTAATGCTACCTTTCCATTTATAGGTTTATCCCCTTGTAGAAAATAATTGTATTTTATATCACCTGTGAAAAATTACCTGTAAATTTTATGAATAGGAGAAATTACAAATACAGAGGCTTTTTATAAAAAATAGTTATAGATATTATTTATATTTTACATATTTACTTTTTATTTTATTTTATTTTTTTGAGATGGAGTCTCGCTCTGTCACCCAGGCTGGAGTGCAGTGACGTGATCTTGGCTCACTGCAAACTCTACCTGCCGGGTTCACGCCATTCTCCTGCCTCAGCCTCCTGACTAGCTGGGACTACAGGTGCCCACCACCATGCCCAGCGTTTTTTTTTTTTTTGGAAGAGACAGGGTTTCACCATGTCAGCCAAGATGGTCTCAATCTCCTGACCTCGTGTTCCGCCTGCCTCAGCCTCCCAAAGTGCTGAGATTATAGGCATGAGCCACCATGCCCAGGCTGTGTTTTACATATTTACTATTTGCCTGATTGGAATTTTTTTGGCCTTGCAAAGGTTAAACGTGTAATGAAAAGGTTAGTCCAAGGTTAGACTGATTGGACTTTTTCTTCACATTCTGATTGGTTATCCTAAGAGTTGCTCTCATCCAATCAGAATATGAATATAAAGTCCAATCAGAGGTTTGAGGTTGGAATATAAAGTTGGAATATAAAATATAAAGTTGGAATGTAAAAAAAGTATTGGAATATAAAGTCCAATTAGAGGCCTAGAGGTTTTTCTCTCATCCAGTCAGAACATGTAGTCTATAACCTCGGTATATAAAGCATGCTAAGGGTGGGAGTTGTGCAATTCGAGGCTCCTCTGCATCTGCCTGCACAGTTGTTTGGTACCCAGCTGGGAGAAGGAGGCGTCATCTGCCGCATGCTGAAGGCTGAAGTCTGCAGGACTGCGACTGGCCTCCCTGGCTCGCCTCACTGGCTCACCTCACAGCAGTTGGTGGCAGCAACGGACACTGCAGCCAGCCAGAGTGTAGAAAGGTGACAGGGTAGGTGTGCTGTCCAGGGCCGCGCTGCCTGTGGCCTGGGGAAGGTTGGGGGTGCTATCTCAGGCATCAATGCCCGCCTTGGGTGGCCGATTGGGTGTGCTATTCGGGGCTGCACTGCCTGCACCAGGGGTGGGTTGAGGACACTGTCCGGGGCTGCACTGCCCTCGGCAGGGAGTGGGTTGGAGGCACTATCCCAGACTGTAGTGCTGGCAGCAGTGAGGGGGTTGGGAATGCTATCGAGGGCTGCACTCTGTGCAGGGACAGATGGGGGGATTTGGGTTGGGGGCACCATCAGGTGCTGCAATGCCCATGGTGTGGGGAGGGCAGCGGTTTGGGTGTGTTGGGTACACTATTGGCTACACTGCTGGTGGCAGGGGGGGTGGGGTAACTTGGGGGCCATATCACGGGCTGCACTGATTGCTCTAGCTATCATTTCCAGTACTGTGTTAAATAACAGTGGTGACAGTGGACATCCTTACCATGGTCTAGATATTAGAAGAAAGGCTTTTCATTTTTCCCCATTCCATGTGATTCTAGCTGTGGGTCTCTCTCGTGTGGTTTTTATTATGGTGAGGTATGTTTCTTCTGTCCCCGGTTTTTTGAGGATTTATAGCATGAAGGGATATTGAATTTCATCAAATGCTTTTTCAGTTTCAATTGACACGATCATACCGTTTTTGTCCTTTATTCAGTTGATATGGTGTATCACACTGATTGTGTGTTGAATGGCCCTTGCATCCCAGGGATACATCCCACTTGGTCATGATGAATTATCTTTTTAATGTATTGTTGAATTTGATTTGCTGGTATTTTGTTGAGGATTTTTGCACCAATATTAGAGACACTGGCCTGTAGTTTCCTTTTTTGATGTCTTTGTCTGATTTTGGTATCAGGGTTATAATGGTCTCATAGAATAAGTTTGGAAGTATTCCCTCCCTCCTGTTTTTCAAAATAGATTGAGTAGGATTGGTACTAGGTCTTTAAATGTTTGGTGGGAAGCCATCAGCAGTGAAGCCATCAGATTCTGGGCTTTTCTTTACTGGGAGACTTTTTCTGATGGCTTCGATGTCATTACTTGTTACCGATCTGTTCTGGTCTTGGATGTTGTCATGGTTCAACCTAGGTAGGTTGTATGCATCTAGGAATTTGTCAGTTTCTACTAGGCTGTCAAATTTATTGTCATATAATAGCCAGTTATGATCCTTTGAATTTCTGAAGTATCAGTTGTAATATCTCCTTTTTTTAATCTCTTGATTTTATTTGAATCTTCTCTCTTATTTCTTAGCCTGGGTAAAAGTTTGTCAATTTTGTTTAACTTTCCAGAAAACCGACTTTTGGTTTAATCTTGTGTATTTTTTTCATTTCAATTTTATTTCTGCTATGATCTTTATTATTTCTTTTCTTATTTGGGGTTTAGTTCTTTACTAGTTCTTAAAGATATATTGTTTATTTGAAGTTTTTTTTCTATTTGGATGGTAGTCACTTAAAGCTATAAATTTATGCCTTTGTACTGCTTTCTGTGTATCATAAGTTTTGATATATTGTGTTTTCATTACCTTTTGTTTCAAGAAATTTTTCAATTTTCATCTTAGTATCTTCATTGATCCACTAGTGATTCATTCAGGAGTGTATTGTTTCACTTCCATATGGTTGTATGGTTTCCAAAATTCCTCTTCTTATTGATACCTAGTTTTATTCCTTTGTACTCAAAAAGAGGATGACCACGGAGACAGCACTGTGGTTGAACTGGTAGGAGGCAGCCATCAGCGAGAGCTGCTCCATGCCTGGCTGCTGGAGGCTAGAGCCTGCGGCCCAGCAACTTGCCCCACTGCAGTTGGTGTTGGTGGCGACAGACTGCAGTCCAACCAGTGTGGTGGGACGGGGCTATCTGGGGCTGCACTTTTTGCAGTGGGGGCTGGTTTGGGGGCACTATCTGGGGTGTCACTGCCTACACTGGGGGTACTGGTTGGTAGCACTATACGGGGCTGTGCTGCCCATGGCGGGGAGTGGGTTATTGACACTCTCTGGGGCTGCATTGCCCGTGGAGGAGGACTGGTTAGGGGCACTATCGGGTACCACACTGCTGGCAGCATTGGGGGGTGAAGGTGGGGGGCACTATTGAGGGCAGGACTAGTCGTGGAGGGGGGTGAGTTGGGGGTTATCAGGGGCTGCACTGCTGGCGGCGGTAGGCAGAGCTGGCAGCGACAGTGGTGGCATCCAAGGAAGGAGCAGTTCTCTTCTCCCTGGACTCCACACTCCAGAGGGCGACCTCCTCTTGCTCATACTGGAGCATGGCAGGTGCACAGTGTTTCCATGGGAATCCTGAGCATGGCAGAGCCCCCACACCTGCTGTGGCTACTGAGCCCTTGCACTCTGGGTCTGTGCCACAGAGACTGCCTGGCACCCCCAGGTATGGAGTAGCGGACACCACAGGGGACAGTGCCCTGTGCGTGGAGGCGTCTGGAATGGGAATTGGCACCTGGGTGTGGAGGGTTGGCTGGGTCTGAGTTTCTGCTACTCCTGCTCCCCGAGGAGTGCAGCCCCAGTGGGCCCAGCGGTTCCTGTGGGGTGAGGAGCTGGGTGCTGTGGTGTCTCCATCACCCAGCCCAGGCTCCAGTTCCTGGCCAGCTTGGGCCAAAAGGAGAGGCTGGACTTTGGAGGGTGGGTGTGAGTCCCTTCACTGAAACTGGTCCCTGCCACCCAGTGGCTGGCATGACAAGGTGAGGCTCTGACGCTACCACCCCTTGCATCCTCCTCTTTTTCTGGCAGGCTTTCCTGGCTTTGCCTGTCCAGCTGCTCTGTGCCAGGGGGAGGAGGAGACACCTGCCATACACTGGAGGCTGGAGCCTGGGAGACCGCGGCTCACCCCACTGTAGGTTGGTGGCAGTGACAGAGACTGCAGCACGCCAGAGCATTAGGAGGGCGGCTGCACTAGGAGGGCAGGTGGCTGCAGCCAGAGTGGGGGCAGGCCTGCAGCGGTGGCCAGGTGGTAGGAGCCTTGTAGGGAGGGCCGGTGCATTGGCATTCGGCCTGGTCCTGCCCTGCCCCTGCCATGGACCTTGCCTTGCACTGCTCTGCCCTGCACTTGCCCTACTGTTATCTGGCCTGTCTCAGCCCTGCCCTGCCCTGGCCCCACCCTGTCCCTGTCTTGGCCCTGTACTACTATGTCCCTACCCTTGCCCTGGCCCTTCCCTGGCTCAGGCCCTGGGCCTGCCTCTGCCCTGGACCGTCCCTGAACCTGTGCTGGCCTGGCCTTGGCTCTGCCCCTTGTCCTGACCCTGGTCCTTCCATGGCACTGGGCCTTCCCTGGAGTTGACCAGGCACTGCCATGGCCTGGTCCTGCCATTGCTGTGCCCTACTCTGCCCTTGTACTGCTGCGGACCTGCCTGGGCCTTAGCCCTGCCTTGACCCTGGACCTGCCCTGACCTTGACTTGGTGTTGACCCTCCCCTCTCTATGGCCTGGCTCTGGCCCTGCCTTGACCAGGCCATGGCCTGCCCTGTGCATCCCAGCCTGGGCCCAGCCCGGGTCCTGCCATATTCCTTGCCCTGGCCGTGTCCTGGCCCTTCCTTGATCCTGCCCTGCCCGTCCATTCCCTGGCCTTGCCCTCACCCTGCATTGGCCCTGCACTAGCCCTGCTCTGTCCTGACACTGCCTTGGCCTTGTCCCTGCCCTGGCCTGATCCCGGGCCTACCCTGTCCATGACATAGCACAGGACCTGCCTTGCCATCCTCTGTCATGGCCCTGTATTGTCCCCACCATGCCCTGGTCTAGATCTTGACTTGGCCCTGTTACTTGGCCCTTCTAATCCTGCCCATGTTATGGCCCTGCCCTGCTTTTGGCCATGCCCTATGCTACCCTAGCCCTGACCTGGCCCTGGCCCTACCCTGGCCTTGCCCTTCCCAGGCTTTGCCCTTCCCAGGCCTTGCCTTTCCCTGGCCTTGCCCTACCCTGTCATTTTCCTACCCTGGCCTTGCCCTGCCTTGGCCTTGGCCCTCCCCTTGCTCTGGACCCTGCCTGGTTCTGCCGTCTCCCTGGCCCTGCCATCGCTCTAGCCCTGGCCCTGGCCCAGCCTTCACCCTGGCCCAGCCTCTGGCCCTGTGTTGGACCTGTCCTGGCCCTGGCCCTGACAATGTCCAGGCCACACACTGGCCATGCATTGGACCTGGCCCCTCCTTGGTTCCGCCCTGCCCTGGCCCTGCCTTGGCCCTTTGCTATCCTAGTCTTGCCCTGGCCATGACCTCACCCTGGCCCTACCCTCACCCTGCTCTGGCCCTGTCCTCCCCTGGCCTTGCCTGCCTTGGCCCTACCTTTGGCCTGTCCTGGCTCTGGTTCTGCCCTGGCCCTTCCCTGGCCATTCTTTTTCCCTGGTCCTTCTCTATCCGTGCCCTTGCCCTGGTCCCTTCTGGTCCTGCCGTGTGGGTGTCTCTGCCCTGTTTATATCCTAGACCTGGCTCTGGCCCTGGACTTCCTTGTCCCTGCCCTTCCATCTCCTGGCCCAGTCCTTGTGCTTCACTGGCCCTGCCCTGTCTTGGCCCTGTGCTACCCTAGCCCTACCCTGGCCCTCCACTGGCCCTGGTCCTGCCATGGCCCTGGCCATGACCTGGCCCTGTCCCAAGACCCAGCCCTGCCATATCCCTCCCCTGGCCCTGGTTCTGCCCTACTTCTGGCACTATCCTGGCCCTGGCCTTGGTCCTATCATGTCCCTGGCTGTTACCCTGCCCCTGGTTTTTCCCTGGCCATGACCTGCCCTGGTTCTACCCTGGCCCTGGCCCTGCCCCGGTTCTGGTCCTGTCCTGGCCCAGCCCTGACTAGGCACTGCACTACCCTGGCCCTGCCCTGCCCTGCCCAAGGCTGCCCATGCTGGGGCCCTGCCTCTGCCTTGGCCTTACTCTGGGCATGGCCTTGGCCTTCGGCCCAGCCCTGCCTTGGACCTGCCCTACTGTTACCTGGGCTGTCCGGGTCCTGTCCTGCCCTGGCCCTGCCCTTGCACTGGCCCTTCCCTAGCCCAGGCCCTGGCTCTGCCTCTGCCCTGGACCTTCCCTGAACCTGCACTGTCTTTGCCTTGGCTCTGGCCCCGCCCCTTGTCCTGACCCTGGTCCTGCCAACGGTCATGGTCCTGATCCTGTTATGGCCCTGACCTGGCGTTGGTCGTGTCCTGGCCCTGATTTGTCCTGGCCCTGCTCTGGCCACACCATGGCCCTGCCTGTTCTGCCCTTTCCTGGCACTGACCTTGCCCTGCCATGGTGCAGTGGTGCCATTACCCTACCTTACCCTGCCCTGATTGTGTCCTGGCCCTGCCTAGCACTGGCCCCTCCCTGGACCTGCCCTGACCCTGTCTTGGCTTTTGCCCTGCCCCCACTATGGCCTGGCTGTGGTCTTGTCCTGGTCCAGCCCAAGTCCTGGCCCTGACCCTGGTCCTGCCCTTATCCAGGCCCTGCCCCTGCCCCTGCCGCTGCCCTGGCCCTGCCAAGGACCTGCCCTAACTCTGGCCTGGCCCTGGCCCTGCTCTGCCTTGGTCCTGGCCCTGACCCAGACCCTTTCCTGGCTCTGCCCTGGCCCTGGCCTTTCCTTGCCCCTGAGTTGGCACTGGTCTGCCACTAGTCTTGGCATCACCCTGTCCTGGTCCTGCCTTTGCTCTACTCTGGCTTTGACCCTGCCCTGGCCCTAACTTGGCCCTCACCCTAGCCTTGGCTAGGCCCTGCTCTGGACCTGGCCTTAGCCCAGACCTGGCCCTGGCCCTGGCCCTCAACTGGACTTGGAAGTGTCTTGGCCGTTCCATTGCCTTGACCTACCCTGCCTTGGCCATGCCCTGGCTCAGCTCTGGCTCTGGCTCCGGCCCCACCCTGGACATCCCTGACACGCCTCAGTCCTGGCACTAGCCTGGCTCTGCCTTGGAATTGGCCCTGCTCTCTCTGTGGACCAGCTGTGGTCCTGTCCTGCACTGGCCATACCATGCTGTGTCTCAGCCCTGGCTTTGGCCTTGCCCCTGGTCCTGCCACATCCCTGGCCCTGTCCCTACCCTGGCCCTGACTTTGACCCTTACCATGCTCAGGCCTTGCCCTGGCCCTGGCCCTGCTCCTGTTCTGGCCGTGCCCTCAACCTGTCCTGGCCCTGGCCCTTCTCTGCTTGAGAACTTACCCTAGTTCTGCCCTGGCCCTGAACCTGTGGTGACCCTGAAATGTCTGACCCTACCTTGGTCTTGCACTGCTCCGGCCCTTGTCCTCACTCTGGCCCTGCCACTGTCCTAGCCCCAGCCTTGTCTTTGGTTTTCCCATGGCCCAGACCCTTCTGGACCCGGCTGTGCCATGAACCTGCACTGTCCCTGCCCTTGTTCTGCTTCTGCCCCGAACCTGGCCCTCCCCTTGCCAGGGTCATGGCCCTGTTCCTGCCCTGGCTGTTCCCTGGCCCTGCCCTAGACTTGGCACTGCCCTGGCGCTACCCTGCCTTGGACCTGTGGTTCCCTGGCCCTGTCTTGGCCCTACCCTATCTTTGACCCTGCCCTGGCCCTACCTTGGCCCTCACCCTAGCCTTGTCTGGGCCCTGTCTTGGACCTAGCCATAGTACAGACCTGGCTGTGGCCCTGGCCCTTCCATGGCCCTGTCTCAGACCCTGGTCCTGCCAGGTACCTGTCCTGGCCCTGCTCTGGGCCTAGCTTTGTCCCTGGTCCTTAGATGACCCTGGCCCTGCCCCTGGCACTGGCCTTGGACATGACTGTGGTCCTAACTTTGGCCCTGCCCTGGAGCCACCATTGTCTTGGCCCTGCCCTGGCCCTACACCTACCCTGCTCCTGGCCCTGCCCTGGCCATAGACTTGCCCTGGTTGGCCCTGCCCTGCATTCCCTCTCCGCTACCCTGGGCCTGCTCTACGCTGCCCTGCCCTGACCCTACCTTGGCCCTCACACTAGCCCTAGTGCAGACCTGGCCCTAGCCCTGGCCTTGGCCCGGCACTGACCCTGCTCCTGACCCTGGTCCTGCCATGGCCCTGCTCCTGACCCTGGTCCTGCTCCTGACCCTGGTCCTGCCGTGGCCCTGGTCCTGCTCCTGCTCCTGACCCTGGTCCTGCCGTGGCCCTGGTCCTGCCCCCTGGCAATGATCCTGTCAGCTCCAGCCCTGGCCCCGTCTTGGTCCTGACCCTGACAGATTACATTAGAATATTATTTAAAACGCTGTGCCAGACCAAAGATCATTGTACTCTCAGGCTCGCCGCTGCATCTCCGGGGCCTGCGACTCGCAGTCGGGGTCTTGGAGGGGGCCAGGGCTATGGCCATGCAGAGCCAGGGCCATGGAAGGACCAGGGCCAGGAGCAGGGTCAGTGCCGGGCCAAGGCCAGGACTAGGGCCAGGTCTGCGTTAGGGCCAGTGTGAGGGCCAAGGTGGGGTCAGGGCAGGGCCAAAGGCAGGGTAGAGCAGGCCCAGGGTAGCACAGGGCAAAGGCAGGGCAGGGCCAACCAGGGCAGATCTACAGCTCTGTGGCTTCCTCTTCGGAGTCCCTGCTGGGTATCAAATGCCTGGCTCTTTATGCCACCCCCTCCCCAATAGCAGGACTGCATTGCCGGCTGCCAGGAGGCAACTAAGTCCTGAAGTCTCCCCGTGGCGGCGGCAAACCCCCTCATCCAGGAGGCTGCTGAGCTTCCCAGGCCATGTCCTAGCAGCAGGCATGGGCAGAGCAGTCAGTGGATCCCTGGGGCAGGGCGGGTGGTGCGCGCCAGGGATCCCTGCCAACTCTGGGGAGCATGGCCTACTAGCTGGGTAGGGGGCCGCCTACGCGGAGCGCCCGCTAGAGTGTGCGTGGCCCAGGGCTCTTTCTCCCGAGGGCCTCGTGGGCCGGCTGAGATGCGCATGCACGCTGGTGCCTAACGGTTCGTGCAGAGGGTGCCGCCAGCAGGTGGCGCCCGCGAGAGCAAGCAGTTTCTCCGCGGAGGGCCTCGTGGGCCGGCTGAGGTGCGCATGCGTGCTGGTGCCTAACGGTTCGGGCAGAGGGTGCCGCCAGCAGGTGGCGCCCGGGAGAGGTAGCGGTTTCTCCGCGGAGGGCCTCGTGGGCCGGCTGAGGTGCGCATGCGTGCTGGGGTCCTAACGGGTTCGGGCAGAGGATGCGCCAAGCAGGTGGTGCCCGGGGATGAGGTTAGGCGGTTTCTCCGCCGGGAAGGCCTCGTGGCCGGCTGAGATGCGCCATGCGGCTGGTGGCCCCCCCTAAACGGTTTTCAGGCACGAGGGGTGCCGCAGCAGGGTTGGGGCGGCCCGGAAGACTAAGCGGGTTTTCTCCCGCGGTGAGGGGCCTCGTGGGCGCTGAGGTGCGATGCGGGCTGGGTGGGCCTAACGCTCTGCTGGCTAGGTGCTCCTCCGAGCGGCTGGAGACTGGAGTGTCCCTGACGGAGGTCGCGGCTGGACCTGGTTACGTGCTGGTGCTGTGCTTCAGAGCGGCAGAAAGCGAGTGGGAGCTGAGGTGTCTTGAAGCCGGTCCCTCAGCCTGGGAGAAGATCTTTGGCTTCAGGATGGGGGTTGGGGGGTCATTCCTGGGGACCTGCGCGGGATGCATGGCTCCCTGGAGGGAGAATCGTGGCAAGGATGGCTTCTCAAATCCCGGGTACCGAGTCCGGCAGAAGGATCTGGGCATGATCCACAAAGCTGCCATCGCGGGTGATGTGAACAAGGTGCAGGAGAGCATCTTGCTCAGGCTGAATGACGTGAACGACAGAGACAACAAGAACAGGTCAGGGGAACTGGAAGCCGGCGCTGGGGGCTGCGGAAGGAGGTCTGGGGATATGGGAGAAGCACCCGTTCCTGGTTTCGGGGTAGGGGAGATATGGTGCGGGGTGAAGGCATGGGTGGGGTGGAAGTCAGGTGGAGGTGGATGGGGTGGGGACTGTGGTGGGGACTGGAGTTGGGTAGGGGTTGCATGGAGTGGGGGACTGTGGTGGGGAGTGGAGTTGGGTTGGGGTTGGATGGGGTGGGGGACTGTGGTGGGGAGTGGAGTTGGGTACGGGTTGGATGGGGTGGGGGACTGTGGTGGGGAGTGGAGTTGGGTACGGGTTGGATGGAGTAGGGGACTGTGGTGGGAAGTGGAGTGGAGTGAGGATTGGATGGGATAGGGGGTGGATGGAGTGAGGGGACTGGTAGGGGGCAGAGTTGGTTAGGATGTGGGTAGGCTGCAAGGGTGGGGGTGGGGTCAGTGCTGTCACCAAGGGCACTGGGCTTTCTACCCTGGCAGGCTCAGCAGCACCTGGGATGTGGAAACCTTGCCTTTCTTGACAAGAAGAGTAACTATTTGTTCTGAAGGCAGAGGGATAACATACTATTTGATGTTTACAATTCCATGCATCATTGTATGTTGGGACTGTGCACTACACTTGCCTAAAATGACCTCTCCCTCTCCTAGGACTGCTCTACATTTGGCGTGTGCCCACGGCCATCCGGGAGTGGTAGCTGACTTGGTGGCCAGAAAATGCCAGCTTAACCTCACTGACAGTGAAAACAGTACAGCTCTGATCAAGGTATGTGGTAGCCAACTCTTTCAGCATGGGATGGATTTAATTTAAATTCACAGAATAAAACTAATTCACCTCACTGAAATATAATGAGTTGGTGAATCCTGTGGAAGATTTCCTAGAATTTACAGTCTATTTCTTGGTCTGATACTGACAGGCTGTACAATGTCAAGAAGAAGTTTGTGCATCCATCCTGCTGGAACATGGCGCTGACCCAAATGTTAGAGATATGTATGGCAACACTGCTCTGCACTATGCCATTGATAATGAGAATATATCAATGGCAGGAAAACTGCTTGCATATGGTGCAGATATTGAAGCAAAAAGCCAGGTATAGATCAACCAATGTTCTTTTCAAAGTATTTCAAGTGTATTTGTTTTACTGTTAACATGATTTTTTTTTTTTAGTAAAACATCTGAAACTAGAAGGAAATATATTACATGCAAATATTGACTTTACATACAGCTATTTAAAAATACATTCATAGCAAATATGAAAACACGAGGTCTGTAGTCTAAATGTGCCCCATAGATTTAGTTTAGCTTACTTCCATAAGTTGTGTCAACATGTAAAATTTAGGAGACACATACACAGATCTAGATTTCAGGCTTCTCTTAAAGGATCCATCTGGATTCCCTTGAGCTCATAGCACTGTTCAGTATGCTGTGCAGTGGTTACCCCTTTATATGAGGCATATGTGCTCCAGTCTGCTGCTGTGCCTTCCAGACACCCTAGGAGGGTATCTGAAAGGGAAGGAGCAGCGTGTGGGCGAGCACAGTGGAGTGAGAAGGAAGGGATTGCTTTTAATTTGCTTTCTGCTTCATGTTTATGTTCATAGGTTCTTAACATAAGGTTTTCAGTTCAGTTGGGAAGTATGTAATTTTGTGAATTATAAATTGTTTTTGCTGTTTTGCAGGATGAATATACATCACTTTTACTTGCCATAAATAGGAAAAAAGAGCAAATGGTGACATTTTTGTTGAAGAAAAAACCAGATTTAACTGCAATAGATAATTTTGGAAGGTACAGTAGTTCTTTTTTGTGCATTTTTAAACCTGAGTGTTGTTCTAGAGTGGTAACAGTCACTTGTCAGAAATATTACATTGATGAGATTAACTTATTATTGGGGTAGAGAGAAATAACACAAATCATCAGTTAGGTAGAAAAACAATTATTTGGACTGGGCGGCATAAAAATGGTGTATTGCAGGATTCATCTCATTATATTGACTGATGTTTGTTGATGGATGAGGTGATATTTTAAGTCATATTATATTAACTAAAGGGATTTCATATTGGTTTCATTTGTTTTAAAAGTATGGACTTCAACTTTTAGTTCACTTTGTGACTCAATATTGAAATTTCTTAACTCTTCTATAGTAGTTTCAACCTCTGCTTCTTACCTGCTTTTCCTTTTAAAATACCATGTTAAAGATAAATTAGAGTTGAAAATCACTTTGTCTTTTGGCTGACTCTTTGCTTTAGCTTGCTTTCTTTCAAGAATATTAATGTTAGGTTATTCCTATGTAACTATTAATTGCTCTTGCCAGATACTGCGGGTTCATTGGGTTTTTTCTTCTTTTTATCTCTAGCGTATTTTGATGTTATTTTTAATTAGTATGGGCAGAGGGAAAAAAGATAGCTTTAAATGGGTAAACTTTTCTTTTAATGAATACAAGTCATGGGTGACAATGAGAAAAAAAGAGATAGGCTTTAGATTCACACAAGACTGGGTTTAATTCTTAGCTTTTCTACTTGCGAGATGTGTGACCTTGGGAACATTACTTATCACCAAGTATGTTTTCCTATATGAAAAAAGAGGATAATATATCCTTCAAGGGTGGTTGTGTATAAGTAATGTGTGTAGATATTGCATTTAATCCAGTGCCTCGCATATGATTATCAGCGTTATTAACTGAAACTACTATGTCTGTTATTAGCATTATTGTTATTGTTTTAAACCTGCAGATAGCTCTTACTTATTGACCCCAAGCTGATTTTGAATTACAATATATTATGTCAGACTAGGGAAGAAATGGATAATTCTTCGCTTAAATTTTTAGCTACTTTAGATAGTTGACCTAAGCATAGTATCCTGCCCATCCAAAGACTTTATTTTAGCAACTTCTGCTATGTCATATCCCAGTGGGACAAGAGGCTTCCTTGTTGTTCCTTCCATTTGGCTTTGGTGGCAATTTACAAAGATGACCCCTTCAGCACCCAAGATGCTTTTGTCTATTAGTACATATAATTGGTTAATTCTACATGGACAGGCATATTAAATTGGTAAAGTATATAAATTTAGCTTTTAACATAACTTTGCTAAAGTTTGTAATTGTGAAACAATCTCTTTGTTATTTTAGAACAGCCCTGATACTTGCTGCTTGTAATGGATCAACAGGTGTAGTCTTCCAGCTTCTTCAGCACAATGTTGATGTCTGTTGCCGAGATATATCTGGATGGACTGCAGAAGACCACGCCATTGCTTATAACTTTCAAGCGTAAGTATTTAAAAGGCTAGTGAACGCTAAATTGAGGTTTAAAGTAATTGTAACCACTGCATCTTATACATCAGGTGAGGTTTCATAGTTGGGTTCAGGTAGTTTTGGAGTGGCAGTGAGTTAGTCCACTTCATCAGCCAGAAATCAAGCATAAGACTAGACAAGTTAGAAGTAGCAATGAGTGTAGGATTCTTTAACTCAAGACTCTTAAGACTTTTATGCTTAGGGATCCTAATGTTTTCCGTTTCATTCCAAGTATAACCCCTACACATGGGATAAAATAGTTTCACATCCTTGATTTTTATAATTAGTTATTTGAGTCTTGAAATGTCCAGTGTATCAGAAAATGTTGGACTATCTCCTGGGAGCTATCTCGTATACCCTCCACCTTGAATTTTTCAAGAAACTAAGAGGTTCTAAGTCCAAGGAAGACAATCATGTTTTACAAGTCAGTGGGGTGCAGGGGGTGGGGGTTGAGGAAAGGACATTCTAACTATTCTGTTGTTTATATGGATTCTGTTACTGTTTGTTTGTCATTGAAACTGCTCCTGCAGTCTGGTAAAGATTGACCTTTGCCCCTTCTGATTCAGATCCTCAGTCTTCTATACGTAGATTTCCAAGTCACAACTTGTAGTTCACATAAATATGCTTATATGCCCAGCCATTGTTTCCAAAGCACCAGTACCCTGCTGTGGCTGCTGGACATCCTAGCTTTACCCACACACATAGTGAGCAAGTTGACCCTTCCCCCCCATACTCAAAACCTCATGTGGAGCCCACATCTTAGCCTGGAATCCTAGACCTTCGTGGTAAGTTATTCTTTGAGTCCCTTGTTTGTCTTCTGTCTAGCAAATATTAGTTGGGATAGTTCTAAGCTGTTAGATGTGTTCAGAGAGTGTTGCAGGAAGATATCAAAGTTTTTTCTTCTTTGTTACCAGATTTTTACCCCAAGCTCTTTTATATCTTATGTAGCAGTTTTTCTTAGATAGAGGAAGGTCCCTTGTTATCCTTCCTCAGAGCAGTGGGCACCAACTTGTGGTTGACCCCTCAAGTGATCTGTTTTCCATAATAATAAAAATCTCCCAGCCCACTTGCCCCTCTACCTCAAGTTTTTAAAATATCTTCAAATTTTACCTCATAGAAAGCTGTTTGTCAGAATTATCTAAGTCTCAAGTAGGTGAGTTGGACTGAACAGAGCCAAGCTTCATCCATGACTGATCAGCATCCATTTATAAAAGTAGGGCTTTGTGCTTGCTTCGCAGCACATATGCTAAAGTTGGACCAACACAGAGAAAATTAGCGTGACCCCTGCATAAACATGACGCACCAATCTGTGAAGCGGTCCATATTACACAGTTACAAGAGGGCCATTTAACTAGTTTGCTGACAAGTTCCCGAAAACAGTGTGAGTCAAAGCAAAACAGGTGCTAGCCGATAATGAAATTACACATTTTCATTACAAGAACATTGGGGTAAGGTAATCTGTGAAATGAGAATAGAGCTGAGCAACCCATGGTGTGTTGTGTGCAAATATATTATTAGTATGTATCTCAGAAATGAGAAAATAACCACTTGCATCTCCTTCATGACACTTCAAAAATATGAGGGTTTTTGTCTTCCTTGTCAGTTGAGATGACCATGGAGAGGAAGCATCATTCTAACAAAGATCCACTGGTTCAGAGTTAGAGTCTATAGAGGAAAAATAGTAGTAGTCCAAGCCAGGTCTTGACGTCTGTTAGCTTTCTGCCTTTGGTGTGATTGTTGACATAAGTAACAATGGATAATCATGTTATCTATTTTAATGAGACAATCTATTTATAAATTTAGTTACAAACTATGAAATAGTTGAGATGTCCTAAATCATAAGCTACAAATAATAGAATAAGTAATAAGCAAAATTAGGACTTAACATTTTCAAAAGATCATAATATTTTAATATTAGAACATATGGGGAAATACACATTGGGTTTCATTTGGGATTCCAAAATAATTTCAGCAAAATGTTCAAGAACAGATTATTCCATTGCTTTACTATTTCTCTGAGCACATTAAAATGTGATTTCATTAAACGTTTATAATAACCTAGCGAATAAGATGGTAAAACCTTCATTCTTTGGAAGAAGACATTGAGCCTAAGAGAAGCGACTTGTCCAAGAACAAATATCCATTGGTTACAGAGCTAGGACTTATTATGAGTCAGATCATTTCCCATTATGTCAACTTTACATGAGTTAATTTACTGAGTTATACTGTCCTCACTTCATAAATACTTTACTTGTTCTTTAATTAGAAGCTTAGTAAGAATTTTGTAAGCTTACAAACTAAATGTGTATAATTAAAGTTCTGATATTGTTTGATATACTCTTAAGAATGTAATGTATTTGGTAAATGTTTTTCATATCAGTATTAAAATAGTAATTGTATTTACTACATTTTTACACATAGCATTCGCAGACTAATTTCTGAATATAAAGCAAACAAGAGACGTAAACGTCTTCAAAATAGGAATCCAGGTACGACTTGTGATAGTGAATTTCTCTCAATGGTCCTGACATAGATAAAAAAAGTAAGGGGAAGGCAGTTTTGATCACAAAACAGCAGTTTAAAAAAACCACTGTATAAATTGAATGTATATTTTTAAATTACTTTCTTAGTAATCTAGATTTCAGAATTATTTAAAAGGTTACTTGTAGGCAATTTATAATCTCAAACAGTATTATCTGAAAAAAATTCATTATCATAGTTTCTGAAATTCTAGATGATATTTTTGTGTAAATAAGAAAAAAGATTTTTAAGTTAATATGTGGTATGTTTTCTTTATAGTCACCTTATGATGAATTGGACTTGTATAAAATTGGGTATTTTAATTTATAAAATAAATGCTTTGCATTTAATAGATACGTATTACAGCTCAACCTTGAGCAGTGTGGGATTTGGGAGTACCAGTCCCCCATTCCGTTTGAAATCTGTGTATAACTTTGGACTCCCCCCTAAAACTTAACTACTCGTGGCTTACTGATGACTGGAAACCTTACTGATTATACAGTCAATTAAGACATATTTGTTATGTTATATGTATTATATACTGTCTTGTTACTACGATAAAGTAAGCTAGAGAAAAAGAAACTTATAAAGAAAATCATAATGAAGAAAGAATGTATTTTCATTCAGTGGAAAGTGGATCATCATAAAGCTCTTCATCCTCAGTCTTCAAGTTGACTAGGCTGAGGAGGAGTAGGAGGTAGAGGGAGATTGGTCTTGCCATCTCAGGTGGCAAAGGCAGAAGAAAATCTGCAGATAAGTGGACCCTTGCAGTTCAAACCTGTGTTATTCAGAGGTCAACTCTGACACGGTGATTTGTGTCATAAAAAAGTAACTTTCCTTAAAACTAGAATTTCAATGAGACCTTTCTGGTACCATGAACAAACAAACAATAAGAACTGTACCAATACCAATAGGATGTTATTTTTTAAAGATACCCAGTGTGTGGAGAAGTCAGAAAATAAATTCCTTATTGAGAAGCACAGGCCATGTTACATATTCTCATACCAAGAAGGTCTCACTAGTATTGACTTAATTCCCCCCAAGTGGAAATAAAATGAGATATATTTACCTCATTAGGGTGAAATTTGTTCTATCTGCTAGTTAATTGTCATGGTAACATCAATTTTATTAGAAGAAGACACTCTGTTACTATTAGATAAAAGATTATTATAATAATATTTGAATAACCCAACTCTAGGCTCAACACATTATAGTAAAAGTACAGCAACCATTACCAGAACAGAGCAGGGGCTGCCTCTTTGAGGTAGGATACGTGCTCTGCCACACAGCCCTACAACTTCACATTCCCTCCCAAAATAGAGGCGTGATTGGGTGCCATTTTTCAGAGGGTTTGCTTGGTAATTTTCTTCATACAAAAATGTTTCAGAAGAACGAAGATGCTACTTTCCTACCTCGATGTGACACCTAATGCACTTGTACAATCTGAAGTGTATGAGGACACCTTTGATTTAATGTATATTTATGAAAGAATGCCTGTAGGTTAGGCTTTCCAAGTTACAGGAGACAAAAGTAGAATAGACATAGTTTTGGCCTTTAAGGCGCTCATAATTTTTATGCTTATACAACAGAGTTTTCAAAGAAAACATTTTCATTGTCATGTCCACTTAATAAATATCAAGTGTCTTTAAGGTAGTAAGCATTTTTCTAATAAGTACAGAATGCAAACATTTAAAAATATATAGTCAGAAGCCATGGTTATTGTCCTTTTTATTATTTACTACTCTATTCAGTGCTTTTTGTGTGTCAGATGCCCTCTGGGAGTTTATAATTATTGTTTATTATGTATTTATCGCATTCAGTGTGTGCCAAATATGTTATGTCCATGGTGGGAAAGGAAAGATTTTAAAACTTGGGTAGGATTTAAGGTAAGCATGCAGAGTGAGTAGACATTTGCCAGGTAAAGAAGCAGAAGAATGCTCTCTGTCAAAAGGAATATCTCACAAGATTGTATCTTTGGCAGAAGGAACAGCTAACAGGATTGCCGCTTTGCCAAAAGGAAAAGCAAGTGCAAAAGGTAAGATGCTTGAGGGAACTTTGCAGAGTTTATGAGCAGTTGGTTCAGTTTTGCTAGCGCAAAAAAAAAGTATGCTATGAGAGTGGTTGGAAATGATTTGAATACCTAGCTAAGTCAAGCTTAGGAAAGACTTTTTAAACATCTAGAAATTTGTAGATCTTATCTGTAGGCCACGGAAAAATTCTTCGGTAGGGTGCTTTTGACTGCAAACATTAGATGACCTAACTAACAATAGCTAAAACAATGGGAGCCAAAGTTGTTTTGGTGATTCAGTGATATCATCATATCTCACTCGTCCCTCTCTCAGCTGCGCTGTTCATGGTGTTTTGTTGATACCTCCTTTCATGGTTGGCTACTTAGCAGCAGTTTCAAACACCATGTTCTCACAAGACAATATGTAAAGGCTGGAAGGGTTGTTTTTTTTTTTCACGTGTTTCTTTTAGAAAATGGAGAAAAGTCAGAAGCTTGCGTTGGACTTCCTGTGACATTTTATTGGCTTGATTACACCAGCTGCTCGTTCCTAAACCAGGCACTGGAAAAGCAAATGTAATTACTGTGATTTGCTTAGAATAACCATTTTTCTTCGTGGAGCTAGGAGGGATATTGGATGATAAATATCTAAGTAGACTTGCATTTCTCCAGCAAGAAAGAATAAAGAATGGCTCTTAGGTAGGGAACCAGCAATGTTTGCTGCAGGCATTCACTAGAAATTTTTCAACAGGGAAGTCTCAAGATTAGATTTGAGGAGGATTAGGGCATTCTGGTTATGGTACAAACAAGGATTGGCAAGCTTTTTCTGTAAAGGGCTAGATAGGTAATATTTTAGGTCATGTAGTCTCTGTCATAGCTACTCAACACTGCCACTGAAGTGTGAAAGCAGGCATAGATAGACTGTGCTCCAAAAAAAGTTTATGTACAAAACCATATGGCAGACTGGAGTTGGCCTGTGACCTGTAGTTTGCTGACCCCTCACTTAGAAGGTAGATGAAAGGTAACCATGTAGACTGGGAGACAAAGGAAACTTTGTCTATAGTCAAAGCTATAGTTTCCTTATCTCCATTCTCAATCTACTGTGATGTTTTCACCCATGCAAGGTGAAATAATTATAAGAATCTCAGTTTATTCATTTAAAAATGTTTATTTATTTTCTTGGCCTTATGCCCTTTTCATTTGCTGTCTTAGTTTTTTCAATTTAAGAAATATTAATAGTTGGTAGGGTTTTCTCCTCCTGTGAAAGACATCAGTTAAGAGGCCATGTTTAACTCAGAAATATAAACACATTTATATTGTGGCAGTGGAAATATAAAGCAGAGGCAGAAGAGAGGTATAGTTAATATGATTTAGTGATTGTTGAAAGTAAAAAGTTAGGTGGCAGAGAGAAATCTTAGATCGTAAGTTTTGAGGTTGTGTACTAGTGTTTATACTGAATTTGAACAGGGAATTTCAGGTGAATAGAGAAGTGTAGGGAATAGGGAAGACGAATGTTTTTCCAATACATGTTGAGTTGAATGGAACAACCGTGGAGGAATATTTTCTGTAGGAAATCGGATAATAGGATTTCTAGCTGCAGATAAAACTCTGAGGTTGGATTTGCAGACATAGAATGGTCCTGTTATAGTTATTAAGCAAAGTCATAGATCTCAATGAGCTTGTCCATCGTGCAGAAGGTGTATAATGACAAGAAAGCCAGTAACAGAACCCAAGGCATAGCAAGATTTCCCAAAGGAAAAGGGAGGTGACAAAGAAGAATGAGCAGTAGCTAGAGAAAAGTGGGAGAGGAGTCAGAGGAAGTGACGTTGCAAAAATTTAAAAAGTGAGAATTTCAAGAAGGGAATATCAGTTCTAACAAATAAGATTACTAAAAAGTAAAATGGATTTAACTTTGACAAGCTCATTAGTGGTACCCTTTTCAAAAGAATGATTTTAGAGTTGTAAGGTTTACTATAGATGTGATTCATACTTCTGGTGTTCAAATATGAAAGAATAAATCTACCAAGATCCTACCTAGCTTTTTGGTAACTACAGCAGCTACGTACAAAGGGTCAGGGAAAATAATCTAGACTGATGAGTACACGTGCCAACATTTTTCCAGAATTGTCAAAACCTAAAGGTCACGTGTGAGCAAAAGTATTGTCTTTCTTATCTGCTTCTTGTGGAAAAACTTGATTTACACTCAAGTACTTGATAAGTTCTTCTGCATACATTTTGAAACTGAAATCTGGTAGCAACAATTGGAACCTGCTGTCAGACACATACCTCCCTCTGTCATGGAATTATAATACAGCCATGTTTTGGCAGTTTCAAGTTTTGATCAGAAGTGTAGTTTACAGATGAGGAGTTTGGAGAAACTGACATCTTTTGTGTAATATGGAGAAAAATATAAGGTGATATGCTGAATATACTAGTTCTCAGCATTCTGGGAATTCTGATGACATCAGTAGAAAACCCAGTACCTGGTTCTTTTTCTTAGTGCAATTCCCTCTTCATTTGCCTCTGCTGATATCTGCACTTCTATTGCTTCCTTTTGAATTTCATCCCTAAAGAAAACATTTTCAGAACACATTTCTAACAGACGTGTGTTTGACAAATGTGGATTATTTCAAGAGAATTGGCTACCTATCCTAAAGTATATCTGGTATTCTGTTAGTCTCTAATGCTAAACTTCTATCACAATGGCAGTGTCACTGATGATGGTCTGCCAAGAATTTTTTAAGTATCTTCTGGATTGTCAAATTCAAGTTGTTTTATCTGACATAGTTTTAAAGTGAAGTGCTTTTCTGGGATTATATTTTTCAGAAATTTGTGATCTGTGATTTAACTAGAATATGAGATCCATTTCTTGATCATACTTTTAGTCATCTATATATAAATTCCTTTTTTTGAGACAGGGTCTTGCTTTGTTGCTGAGGCTAGAATGAAGTGGTGTGATCATAGCTCTCCACAGCCTTGAACTCCAGGGCACAAGCAATCTTCTCATCTCAGTCTCCCAAGTACCTAGGACTACAGGCATGCATCACCATGCTCAGCTAATTTTTTATGTTTCATTTTGTAGTAATGAGTGTCTCGCTATGTTTGTTGCCCAGGCTGGTCTCTAACTCTTGGCCTCATGTAATCCTTCGACCTTGACCTCACAAAATGCTGGGATTACAGGAATGAGCCACCCTGCCCAGTCTACAAGGCTTTTTTCTTTGCTAAAGAAGTTTAAAGTACTATTGACCATTAATGATAAAAATCCACTGTTTGAGGAGGGAAATAGAAACTCTTCCTACATTTTGAATGCAGTATTTGACTTTTTGGTTTGTTCTATGAAAAAGTACCTTTAATAGGTGAACCATGTTTTTAGCTTTATATGCAATTAAGAAAAAGTTTTGAAACAAAAGGAACTCTATGGTCAGTAGTAAAGTATTATACTATATCCAGTGGCTATATATACTTCTATAATTATCACAGTTGAGTGAATGAAGCACATTTATTTAATAATTATTATTATTTCCTTTATTGTTGTTGTTGAGACAGAGTTGCTCTGTTGCCCATGCTGCAGTGCAGTGGCATGACCTTATCAGCTCACTGCAACCTCCGCCCTCTGGGTTCAAGCAATTCTCCTGCCTCAGCCTTCCAAGTATCTGGGATTACAGACACCCGCCACCATGCCCAGCTAATTTTTGTATTTTTAGTAGAGACAGGGTTTCACCATGTTGGCCAGGCTGATCTTGAACTCCTGACCTCAAGTGATCTGCCCACCTCGGCCTCCCCAAGTGCTGGGATCACAGGCATGAGCCACCACGCCTGGCCTTATTATTATTATTTCTTAAGAGATGGCAGTCTTGCTATGTTGCCCAGGCTGTAGTGCAGTGGCTATTCATAGGCACAGTCATACTGCACTGCAGCCTTCAAGTCCTGACCTCGTGTGATGTTTCAGCCTCAGTTTTCTGAGTAGCTGGGACTACATGCGCACACATGGCACCTGGCTTGATATACAGTAATTATTAAGAGAAATTGACTGTGATCTTATTTTCCTGTCTGGAATTACAGGCAGTTGCTGCCATGCTCCCTTATGATTCTGATATTTTATGTGTTTCTATTGTTGATTTAAAATGTATTTTTTTCTTTAGTAGCGCCTGCTGTTACCATTGAAGACTGCATGAACAGGTAGGATTTCACAGATTCTGAAAAGTGATATGTCTTCTAAGGGACTGCAGAGAAAAGAAACTAATAACTGTTGGTTGTTTTACTCTGGGCTTACGTGCTTCACATTTATCATTTCCTGTAGTCCTCACGTTGCTTTGCAAGTATCTGTGCTGTTATCACCTACTTTTTAAATAATTAGGCAACCATGATTCGGAGGGTTGGATAATTAGCCCATGATCCTGTTAATTAACAAGTAGCCAACCCATGATTTGAACATGAGCGTGCCTGGCCCCCAAATCACTTCTCTTGAGACCTGTGCAGCAATGGGATCAAGGTACGGGTCCAAATCAGATCAGTTCAGAAAGTCACATTTTGTTTTACGTTAACACTCTTTAGAGTCCTTCTTAGAAGCTTGGTTAGTTCAGAAATTTGTCCTAACGTACTTGACAATTGCGGTGGTAACCAGCACCTTATTTTTACCATCAACGTTTTTAGGGCAGATCTCCCTCAGCTGGGCTACAGGGCCCTAGGTTTTCCATAAGCAACATCAGGCAAGTCCTGGAGAGGACTAGTTTGCTGCAGGTGGTCTGCATATAGACTATGTTATGTTAATTATATTTTGCTCACATTCAAAGGAAATGTTAATTGATTTCTCTACTGTCTGACTTCTCTATGTGGTTTTCCCTTTAGGCAAGTACCTTGCCTAGTTCCATGAAGCTTTTTCTTTTTCTCTGGAGTCCTTTTTTTTTTCATGAGTTTTCTGTATTCTTTTCTTGATTTTTTTGTTTGTTTGTTTGTTTCTTCTCTGCTTTTCTTGGTGGTTTTTTCTTCTATTACTGTGCTCATGCCAGCTAAATATTCTTCATTTTTCAATAGACAGAATCAAAAGCACATAGAATTTCAGGATTTTAAGGGATCTTAGAGACTAAACAAAATATTCTTTAGTATTTCTCTCTGTGTTGAACATCTGGGTCAAGTGGTTGTTCAGGTGAAGAACCTGAAACTCAAAGAGAGTAAATGATTTATTTGGGTACACTTTGTAGCACAAATGAGATTCAAACTCAAATTCCTTAATTCAAAGCCTAGTGCTCTTGTGTATCATCCTGTCGGTGAGTGTTTTAATAATAGAAAAGGGAAAGTGGGTCTAATGATCCCAATGGAAGAGGATGAGAATGGAATGAGCTGGTGAACCTTAATGGAAGCGGATAAGAGTGGAATTAGCAGGGGAAGGCCAAAGACACTGAGTTGGATAAGAGTAAGGGTTTTAGAAAAGAGATCAGAATAGTGGGCTTTGTGATAAATTAGAGGAATGAAAAACACAGGATGTTGGGAGTTAGCAAGAAAGACATGTTAAGTAAGTTAAAGTAATGGGTTTAAGAGAGTCCTAAACGGGTTGCTGCTTTTTTGGTTCTCTGATTGGAAAAACTGACAGATATCAAAGTTTTGTTTGTTTGTTTGTCTGTTTGGAAAGATGTTAAGAGAATTTGAGCCACTGGGAAGAGTCTTAGAGCGTATAGAAATGTGTATCATCTTCCACCCCAACTTACAGAGGGGTAGCTTGGAGCCCATCGAGTACTAGGGTACTGGAGGTTGCTGAACTGCATGGATCTGTGGTCCAGGCCAGGCATCCCCTTTTCTCTGCCACTTTTCCCAATTAACTAATGTTCTTCTCATATCTGTGTAGGCTTAAGGCAAGAGTAGGATTAGCTGGCAAATCAGTCATGGAGCTTCAGTGGGGTAGTTGGTCATATGCCTATGCTGGAGGTGGATGATTGAAACTCCATTTAGCTTACTTTCCAGGAACAGGGAAACAGAGAGCTCCTACCCTTGATTATTTGAGCTCATTCTTTTAGGAAGCTGTGCTTTCCTAGGCTGAAGATTTAAAGTTTGGAGACTGCCATGGAGCCCTGCAGAAGAAGGATCTGGAAGTGGGAGCCCATGGGAAGGAAGATATTTAGATATAGTACTTAGGGAAATAGAGGTACAACTATCAGGACTCAGTTATGTCAGCTAAACCCATGTATACCTAGTATTCCATTATTGAAATGCCAAGCCTGTGAGAATTATTTATAGCTTACCACTCAAGGACATCGCCAAGGTCTGATTTTTCAAATTCCAAAAATTGCAACCTCAGGCATGATTGGGTTAATTGAGCTTTCAGTCCAGCCTTCAGGACAAATTACTGTGGGTCTCTGCCAGTGTATTGGCTGACACTGTTTGCTATGAAAGTAAGACTGGGTAGGCATTGGATATCTCCTAGGTTTGGGCCGGGCGCGGTGGCTCACACCTGTAATTCCAGCACTTTGGGAGGCCTAGGCAGGCAGATCATGAGGTCAGGAGATTGAGACCATCCTGGCCAACACAGTGAAACCCTGTCTCCACTAAAAAAATAAAAATAAAAAAAATTAGCCGAGCGTGGTGGCGGGCGCCTATAGCCAAGCTACTCGGGAGGCTGAGGCAGGAGAATGGCGTGAACCCGGCCACTGCACGACAGCCTGGGCAACAGAAGAGTTTGTTTGAGGCTCTGTCTCAAACAAACAAAAAAAAAAGTTTGGAGAGCTGAAGGCAGAAATAGGTAACAAATATTTTTTAAAACAAAGGTCATGTTTTACTTACAGCAAGATATATTATTTGATATATTGATAGCTGACTTTTTCCTAGATTTTGTTTTTCTTTTTTTGTTTTTTGGAGGGGGCATACAGATATAGATTAGGATTTTTGTTTTATTTGTTTTGTAAGTAATGAACCTGCTCATTTTTTTTTTCTTGTATATTTTTGCTCTATAGGCTTTCCTGCAGACTGGATACTTTTTTAGTGCGTATGCGACTAAAAAAGGATGGTGACTTCAATTTTAAATCCAAGGTAAAGTGGTCTTGTGAAATTAATATTCTCACTCTGAATCTAGTTTTGTATAGTATTTACTTTTAAAATTTAACAGTGGTCTACCTTTGTTTTATCTGTGTAATAGAAATTTGGTTAGAGAAAACCATTTTATAGAACTATGACTAGGTACATTTCTTTTTTTTACTTTGGTAAGTAACAGATAACTGGTGAATACTTTGAGGGAATGGGAACTGAAAAAGAGAATAGGCTAGAAACTACATAATGGCAGGAAAATTATATTACAAAAGCTTCCCCACAATAGAGGAGATGTGAAATTTGGTCAAAATTTATTGGGATAAAGATCCTTACTGTGTTAAATCATACTAACGTGACTTTTATACTACTTATTTGTTAAACGAAGCTCAAATGGATCCAGTCACTTGTTATAGTAATCATGGGGTTTCCCTGTTGCCCGAAGTATATATTTACTTTTTTCTTCTTGGACATTTATTATTTTGTTATTATACAGTTTTTAGCAGAGAGTTTTAAAATAATTTTATCCTTTGTTCTCTAATTAGCCTAAAATAATATTGGAAATTATGAGAATTTATTTATGTATGAGGTCATGTGCCTGCAATCCCAGCTATTCAAGAGGCTGGAACAGGAGAATTGCTGGAGCCCAGGAGTTTGAGACCTGGGCAACGTAACAAGACTCCATATCTAATTTTTTTTAAATTGTGAAAGACTCGAAATTTAAATTCTTCCTCAAAACCTATATTACAAAGGGATTCTACTATATTTTCTAAGTCACTAAGAGTCTATTTTAAAGCCTTACTCTAACTGAAGAATACATGTTTTGTTCAAAATAACAACTTACAGAAGTAAGCAGAGACTTTAGTATTCATATGGTAAGACTTTAATTTCAGAAGGTTTTTGTAACTGTAATTTTCAGAAATACCTACCCAGAATTCTTGTATCTCATTCTAAAATTTTAAATCTCAGGCTTTTCTATTTAGTTATTTAAATAATAATTTCAAAGCTACTGTATTACTATGAGCTACGGGAGTGGAGGTTAGGAAACATTTTTGTGTATTTGGAGTACCTATAATTGTGACTGTGTGTAAGAAGTATTTTAATAGTTTTCAATATGAATAAATGAACACGCAAATGAGTTTCTATATAATGGAACGTTATAAGTAATATAATACACATGGTATGTTCTAATAATTAAATCTCTTTCATTTCTAAACTGGCTTAAATTTATATTCCCTTTTATTTATTTTTTTTTTTTTCTGAGACAGAGGATTGCTCTGTCACCAGGCTGGCATGATCTCAGCTCACCTCCGCCTCCTAGGTTCAAGCGATTCTCATGTCTCAGACTCTCTAGGAGCTGTAATTACAGGTGCCCATCACCACACCTGACTAATTTTTTTTTTTTTTAGTGGATACAGAGGTTTTGCCATGTTGGCCAGGCTGGTCGTGAACTTCTGACCTCAAGTGATCAAGCCGCCTTGGCCTCCCAAAGTGCTGGGATTACAGGCATGAGCCCTTATGCCTGGCCTCTTGTAATGTTTAAGATATATAAGTTCAGATGAGTTGTGTTGAGAAAACATGTCAAAATAAGAAGGAAAGAAATTAGAAATATGTCTTAAGTAGGAAAGATAGATTCAGTGTAGTTTCTAATATTCTTCAACTGGAAGGTTAGGTTTCGATTTTAGGATACAATTTCTTAAACTTTTTAAAGCCCCAACTCATGTTCTATTAAATACATATTTTCGAGCCACACATTACTCTTTAGAATTCTGCTTGCTTATTCTTTCTCCAGGTGGAAAGTTGATGGAATATTTCTTTTTCCATTTTTCTCTCTCTGGGATAACAGTGCTCCAGCTTTCAGGTAGTGATAGATGTATTTTAGTGTAATAAAATTAACTCTTATTAGACAAGTTTTTACAAAAAGCTTATTGTAGAAGAAATTCTAATAAGTGTCACTACAGGGATCCATTATGAACACAAGTTTTTGTTATGTGTCTGTATTTCTCCGCATACATTATTGTGCTTAAAATTATTTCTTTCCTTGGCTTAAGCTCATGCTTGATTAACTGGCTGTGTCTCTTTTTTGTTTTGATGTTTCTCTGTCCCGCCTCTCGTTTTAAAAATGATTTACCTCAGCCTTTTCCCTTGCACAACACGTTTTAGTGTCTGTTCTTTTATTACACTTCTGTCTCTATTTTCAGCGTATTTAGTGACAGCTTCCTCTTTAGTAACTGTGTGTGGATTTCACTCATCAGTCATTGCCCTACAAGCTTTATTCTTGTTTTTTTTTTTTTCCTCTCTGTCTCAGAAGGAACTGAATTAATATGATAATTTGTTTCAGCTTTTTTATAAACAGCATAGAAGTTGCTTGTACTGTTTGCAGTGCCTACCCATTTAAATCAGATACCACTAAAAACTAAGTTCTCACATTTTCTCCATAAGATGGAATTTATGAAAATACCAAAATATTATCACATATTTATATTTTTGAATATATTCATTTTTTCAGTAATACTCAAAACTCCCTATGGGTAAGCTTTCTTCTAGGTTATTTTGGTTAAGAAAATACTCTAATCGATACAGTATTTGTCTAATAATGAACTAGGGGCAAAAGAGTAACGTTTTGAGGATATCTGTATCATCTCTCGTAATCCTCACCCCATGAGCATGTAGATTAGTAAATGGCAGATTTAAGGTTTGAATCTATGAATACATCTGAGTGACTCTAAAACCTGTATTCTTTGTGTTAGATCATGTAGTACTGGTGAATATTGTGTTATTAAACTTGATACATGTTTTTCTCTTAAAGCTATTGTTTTCTTTGTAGAATGCTCCAGAACAACACTTAACGAAGCGAAGAACTATTTCTCAACAACCAACAAGGACTATTTCTCAACAAGCAGTCTTCTCAACAAGGAAGAATCGTAAGCTATCTGAAGACTGCCTATTCTTGTGTTATTCACTGACAGTTAATTACACATTTTTTTATATACTCTTTGCTTTAACTATAGTGAAAACGACATATGGTACTGTGAGAACAGGAAATATAACTTTGCTTGAGGGCAGCAGTTCTGACAGCAAAAATGAAGATGGGGTTAAAATCCATCCTGAAATCGTCAATGGTCAGCCTCGTCGACCTACACACCCTGGTCTGAAACCTTCCCTCAATCCTATAGTGAACCCTGGTGTTACAAAGGTAGATTGGTTTTATTTGAAATCTTTCCCCTCCCCATGCTTTTTCACATACATCCCCTCAATCTTAATAATGATGACAGAGATCCTAGAAATACAAGCCCTCAAGATGATAACAGAAAACAAGTCTTACCAGAGAGATAGATGCATGGGATTGAGATTTATGAAAAATGGTGGGAATAAACAGTTCTTAGGTTTGCCTTTATGGAAGGAAAGAAGTAGAAAGCAACCAAAAAGAACAGCTCAGTATGTGCTGTGCACATTGGCTTAGGCCAGTAATCCTAACACTTTGGGAGGCCGAGGCAGGCAGATTACCTGAGCTCAGGAGTTCAAGACCAGCCTGGGCAACATGGTGAAACCCGTCTTAACTGATGCACAAAAAATTAGCCAGACGTGATGACGCATGCCTGTAGTCTCAGCTACTCAGGAGGCTGAGGCATGAGAATTGCTTGAACCCAGGAGGTGGAAGTTGCAGTGAGCCAAGACCATGCTACTACACTCCAGCCTGGGTGACTGTGTGAGAATTTGTCTCCAAAAAAACAAGAATTAAATATTTCCATACAATTCAAAAATGCATATTGCCATAACATTCCAGAAATAAGTGCCTGCATAGATTAAGGAATATTTTGTACTCTTGAAACAAATGTGGAAATATATAATTGAAAAGTAGAATTCCATGTTTTTCCCTCGTGTTTTTATTTTCAAAAGTTCAGAGTTCTATATAGGTTTGCATTATTTAATTCTACTAGTTTAGTATATTTTACAAATATTTGTCTTATCAACACTGTGTCCTTTTCCTGAGTAAGGCCATCTACTTCGGTTCCAAATGTATTTTTCCCGATCTGTCTTCTAACTTTCCTGGGTGCCTCAAATTTGATAGGTCCTAAAGTGAACACATGGTTCGTGATTCTTTCCTGACTCCTGGCCCTTTGTAATCTACTCTGTCCTCTGGCTTCCCCCTCCTAGTACGTAACACCTGGTAAATAGCACTGAAACATTGAAAGAGGAAAAATGCTGCACTCCAGGTCTCACATCACCAATGCATTCTCTTACCAAGTTCTGTATTTTTACCTACTTCCCACTTTTCATATCTTATTACTGTAGTTCACATTGTGACCTATAATTCTAGAATACTCTTTTATAGTTGGGCCCCTGCCTCACCATGTTCACTCCCTTTTACATTGCTGCCAGGGTGACCTTCCTGAAATATATTTGTAATGATCTAACTCATCTGCTCATTGAGTGGATTCCGATTGCATCAAGGGGGAATTTTACATTCCAGCATGACACATATCTTTTGTAGTTTGGCCTGATTGTCCTGTTTTCTCTCTCCATCCCATTCCCTCTGACTGCATGCCAGTTTTACTTTAATGCCTCTCCATGTGGTTTCATGTCCCATCCTTCTACGCATACTACCTTGCCTAGAAACCCCTTATACCCTCACTCTTTACTTTGTCTGTCTTTTAAAATACGGCCCTGACTTTGCAGCATTTACAGAGTTTTCCAAGTAGAACTGACTATTCTCTCTTTATGCCCTCACCATATTTTATTCATTTTAATTGTAGACCTAATGTTGTATGTTTCTGTTCTTGTTTCTTTTCATATATCCCCACTTGAATAGAGGGTGGAATCTGTCTTTTCTTTATATTTTTGGCTTCTCTCAGGATATGCCATGATTTTATACGAACAGTGAATAAAGAAATACAATGTTTTGTAAAGTTTGTTTGTTTGTTTGTTTTTTAATAGGAGGAAGCAACAAAACCATCAACTGGAAGAAACAAAAATGGTATTATTTGAAGTGCCCCACGAGAGCAAACAAATTGTAATAATTTTATTTTTTTGTGTGTAAAAATTAGAAGTGGTAAGTTAGTGAATATCTCTGAAAAAAAGTATTTGCTTTAATGGTATTACTTAAAAAAAAAGGAAACCAACTGTGGCAGATCATGCCAATAATCCCAGTACTTTGGGAGGTCAAAGTAGGCAGATCACTTGAGCCCAGGAGTTTGAGACTTGCCTGGGCACCATGGCAAAACCCGGTCTCTTCTTAAAAAAAGAAAAAACTACAAAAATTAGCTGAGTGTGGTAGTACAGGCCTGTAGTCCCAACTACTTGGGAGGCTGAGGTGAAGGATCACTTGAGCTGAGGAGGTTGAGGATGCAGTGATCTGTGATCACATCATTGCATTCCATTTGTGGTGACGCAGCAAGACCCTGTCAAAAAAAAAAAAATCACAGAACCAAATATAATATGTTTATTTTTTTGCTGTTTTTCTGATATTACAAACTCCTTTTTCCTGAAACTACATCAAACCTGAAATTAGTTTTTCTTATTATTTTTATTTTATTTAAATACTCATGAATGGAGATAGACTTTGTTATATGTATTTGAAATTTACAGTAACTAATAGTCTCATGAATGTGTCTGTGAATAACATTTTATAGATAAGTCATCATCAGGATCAGAAGAGGAAGATATAGGATCATCCCGTAGTTCTAAGGTACTGTCTACTGTCATAAATATCAAGTGATGTTAAATCATAAAATAGGATGCTTGAGCTTTACTTTCTCACCTGTGCATACGCCCATAAAGGAATTATTTTCTCACATTTCAGTGTATGATGAATACAATAATTATGTGCTAAGTAGATTACTGCTGCATAGTACAATTCTGCTAATTTGCAGGATCCATTTAAGAAGCCAACATAGTATAATGAAAAAGAAAACACAGGGAATCACTTCGGGTTCTGAAGATAAGTTTGTCTAAAAACTAAAGAATTATTCCAGGTCAACCTAGGAGCAAATGTACAATTCTATGGTATATCTGAATGTGTAAATATCCTAATGAGATGCGGAGATAAAGAGTTTAAGCTGTAAGGTTTTTTTTAGAACTTGGAACTTGAAACGATAGTGCCTAGGACTTGAAAGTATTGATATGTTTGGATCATCAGTGTAGATCTGCAAGGAACATTTTATGAGAAGGAAAAGCATGGGAAATAGTCTACGTGTGGAAGTATAAAAACAACAATTTGGTTTAATAGTGTTTTAATTCTTTTTAACAGTAGAATGCTTTGAATTTCTTTGTGGCAGTCATGCTTATAGTAACATAAGTAAAAAATAATAATGATGTATTCCAAGGCCACAGCTGTGGAAAGAGATGGGAACGACCTGACCTCTTAGGTAGAAGCAGCTGGTGCGTAGTGGTACCAGCACTGAGTGGAAGTCAAAAGATAGGTTGGTGTCCTGGTCTTGTCACTTACTAGCTATGGAACCTTGGGAAAAATTATTTAACTTGTTTGAATGTCAGTGCCCTTTTTCGTAAAGATGGTACTGATATCTAGCTCTTAGGTATATGTAATGAACAAATGTGGCAAGAAATGTGAAAACGTTTTGTAAACTGGAATATGTGTGTGCAAATATGGGACAAAATGAATCACAGTGGGATTCAGTGCCTTAATACATACCGCGAGTCTTTTTTTTGTTTAACCTTTAGTGAGTACTGTCAAGTCGACAGTACTGACAAGAGAACAATGAAAAAGTATAGCATAGGTATGTGGATTTCCAGATTGGAGTAGGGTAAGTTTTAGCGGTCTATTACTGGTGATATCCTACGGGAATAGGGTGATTTGGCACCCAGGACCTCCTAATGAGATTTTAAATGTTTTGACCTCAAATAAATTTCTGTCATTGTGTACGGACTGTGTGCTAGGCAGTAAGACAGTGAATACACAGGATGAGGGCTTATCCTAGAGTAGTAGGAACACAAAAACAAGGAAACAACAAATGCATAAGTCACTACAAGTGCTTCCTATAAAGAAAACAGAAAACGTTCAATTACAGAAAATGGAGGAAGTTTGTAGTTAGGATTGGGATGGGAGTGGGAGTAGAATTGTGTAGTCAGAGAAGATCTTTCTGTGTGCCATTTAAGCTGCCATCTAGAGGCTGAGAAAAAGCAAGCCCCCTGAAAGTCTGAAAGGAGGATATTCTGAACAGAGAGAAAAATGGATAGCAATTGTTCATTTTGCTTTAAACATCCTCGAGTGACCAGAAAGCAGGGAATGGGGTAACCATCATCATCATCATTTGCAATGTGTAGAAAAGAAAATGTGCAAATGAGAATCTGGAACATTTTAGATGCTTTGTGAGTAAATGTTCTTCTTCCCTTTTTATTAAGGCTTGCTCTAGTTTTTGAAGTTATTTCTTAATTGGAAAAGAGTGGCAGAATATATCTTGCTTGCATTTATTTAAACATAAACAGAAGTTTTTCTTACTACTTTGTAATTTTATTCAACCATTTTTTTATCAGTAAAAATTTTATCAAGAAAAACTTTAATTTTTTCAAGCCCTTGTTTACCTAAATGAAGCAGTTTCATCGGTGTTCTTTTTATACACAACATGGAGTACTCCAAAGTTTCTTGTCATGCCAGTTATCTTCTTTTAATAATAAAAAATTCTATAATGGGGAATAATTTAAATGTTACATGCCCTAATGTAGCAAATTTATTTTTGTAGTGCCCTCTTACTTTTGATGGAGATTGCAAATTAGAGTTAGGTCTTCAGAAGTAAGTGTCTTGTTGAGATATGCACCTAAGTTAATACTTTGTCTGTAAATAGGTTCCCTTTTGCCTTCCATACTCAGTTTTACAGAGTCAATAGCCTAATGAAGATAAAAAATAAGCTCCATCTAAACAGTGTATGTGAGGTTCTCTATTGAAATGTTTTGGTTTTCAGGCTGGGCACAGTGGCTTATGCCTGGAATCCCAGCACTTTTGGAGTCCGATGCGGGTGGATCACCTGAGGTCAGGAGTTCGAGACCAGCCTAGCCAACACTGTGAAACCCCATCTTTACTAAAAATAGAAAAGTTGGCTGGGCGTAGTGGCGGGCGCCTGTAATCCCAGCTCCTCAGGAGGCTGAGGCAGGAGAATCGAAGTTGCTTGAACCCCCAGGAATCGGCGAGGCTTGTGCGTCACGCCGAGATCGTCCCTCTACACCTCCCGCTCCCTTGGCTCTCAACATTTAAACAAAAGAAATGTTTGTGGTTTCAATACCAGCTTCCTCTTATGTCTCTTTTTTTTTCTTTGAGACGGCGAGTCTCCCTTTTCGTCGCCCACCAGGCCTCGGATGCAGTGGCGGATCTCAGCTTTCCACTGCCAAGCTCGCACCTCCACCGGTTCACGCTCCACTTCTTCCTGCCATCATGCTCATCCCCAGTAGCTGGACTACAGGCGCGCCGCCGCCATCGCCCGGCTAGTTTTTTCTGTATGTTTTTAGTAGACAGGACCGCGGTTTCACCTCCAACGACGTGTTCGCCCAGGCATGGTCTCCGATCTCCCTGACCCTCCGTGACTCCGGCCGCGTCTCGCGCCCTCCAAGGTGGCTCGGGCTTCACAGGCTCGAGCCACCACGCGCCCCCGGCAGCTTCTCTTATTTTGTAAGTCTAAGCTGCTTTTAACTATACGGACATTCTGGATGTTTAGTGTTTTTGTCTTTGTTTTGTTTTGTTTTGTTTTGAGACGAGTCTCCTCTGCGTCGCCAGGCTGGAGTGCAGTGGCG